CTTTGTGTCGCTGGGACCAGAGGAGAACGAGTCAGGTGGGTGAGGACACACAGTCACCCCATAGCCAGATGAAGAGGCACCGGTGAGGGAATTCTCAGCGATCAGCAAGCAAGGCTGAAGGGGGGTCCGACACCCAAGAGCAGACTGCTGCCTGAGCCTCTTTTCTGTAGAACAAAGCATGAAGGGCTGTCTGCAGGAGGGCCCCCTCCCTAATCCAGGGCCTTCCCTGTGTGACCCTTGGGTACCTCCCTTTGGGAGGAAACCACCCTCGAACCTTCACCTCATCACCATCACCTCTGCCTTGAGCTGGGTCACATGTGGGCCCTGCAGACAGGATCAGCACTGCTGAGTATAGCCTCAAGGCTGCACCATGTGCCGGCTCCAGCTCCTCAGTTTCTATCTGAGAGTGACTAGATCTTCCTGCTGGGAACGAGGGTGGGGTGTAGAGGACAGAGAGTGCCCACGAACACTGCCCAGCCAGCCCCAGCTTCCCAGAGAGGTGGGCACAAGCCAGCGCAGTGGGAACCTGAGAACAGCCAGGCTTCCTCCAGCCGGAGCTGAAGAGATGTTTGCTCAAGCCACCTGGGGCAGTCGGAGGGGAGAGCCAAAGCAGAGCAGTTTGCTTCCGCTGGCTTGAGCGTCTGAAACTCGAAAAGGAAGAGAGGTTTGTGTGTACCAACCCATCTACCGTCTCGAAGGAATTTGAGGGCACCGTGACTGGGCGTCCTAGATCAGCAGAGCTTGTGAAGCCAAGGTCAGGTATTAGCAAGCAGAGTGGCCATCAGGAGGCTCGGGGTGCAGAGCCACCTCCGAGGCAGCTGCTGATGTGGCTGGCAGTGAGGGCCCTGACTCTTCTCAGGAGAGCCTCCCTAGTGCGAGTGACCCAGAAACCCGGGAGAAGCTGGTGCCTTTTACAGCCCAGGTTCAGGGGTCACATCACCCTTCTGCCCCCCACCCCCACCCTGCTGCCAGTCTCTGGGACCAGCCCGGGTGGGGGGTGGGGAGAGATGAATGCCAGGAGACCTGGACCAGGGGACTGACTTCTGCACAACACAAATGTCACCATGCCTGCTCTCAGTGGTGATGTTTATCCCCAGGTAACTCAGCCAAAGGGAGGGGAAGAAGATGCTTGACCTTGGGTATCATTTAGGCACTGGCCCTTTGGCACCTAAAGGACCACTGTGGAGTCCCCTGGACTGCAAATCATTGAAAAGGGAGGTGATTCAGCTTGAGCTCGTGGCTTCAGTTCAGCTTACCCAGGGCGGAGGGGTTGGCAGCTCCTTCCCCGGTGGAGGAGGCATCTAGGGGAGAGCCCGCCCTGCTTTCCTTCTGCCGCCATCTTCTCTCTTCTTGGCTCACCTCTACTGGAGGGGAACATTCTGGGAAAGTCTTCTCACCTCTTGCTGAACTCAAGGGCCCCCAGGAGCTGTCTTCATCAGAGCTGAGGCCATGCCTACTGCTATTCAAAGTCCCCTTTGTTCCCCAGCCTTGAGAAAGTTCACAAGGAGGAGAGACACTCACTTCTGTGTAGCTAGATAAGAACGATGCAAGGTGCACTGTCCTGCTATGCACGGTTCCTTGCTGGGAGCCAGCAGAATGCTTGTCAACCTTGCCAGCTGTCTCAGCTCAGTAGTGGGGGGAGGTCACTCCTGACAGGGCCAGCACTGATGCACTGAGCCAATCTGATCCTGACTCTCCGGAGACTTCGTTTGAGCCGTCATCTCTTGGGGGCAGGTTTCTTGGAGTGTTAGGCAGTGTTAGTTGAGCAAAGGGCCTCAGAGGAGACTCGGGACCATGTGCCCTTACAAGGAGCCAAGGAAACAAAGCACCAATGCTGAGGCCTAGAAGTCACAGGGGACCCCGCCTCCTGCCACCCTTTGTACAAGGTAAACTGCACTGCGTGCCCCTGCTCTGCTGGAAGGGCCAGCAGGGTGAGATGGCTGGAGAAGTGGCTGTGGTGTCACTTCAGCCCTGCGACTCAGGCCTGAGAGGCTGCAAGGGATATCAAGGACACACTAGCATCAAGCGGAACCTCTGCTTCCCCTGCTAGCACTAAGGCTAGGAGGTGAACCTGTGCCCCTGGCCACCAGTGACTCCAGCATCCCTGCTCCATGCAGCTGCCAGATGCATGGATGCTGGTGGACACAGCCACGAATGGAGCTACTGAATGACATGAATTTTATGGTGTCTGCCTTCCCTGTGGGGTGACTGTTCTCTGGGTCTATCCCAGACCTCGCAGGAGAATCTGACTCCCGGGTGGGGTGTGTCAGGACACAGCACGTGGAGTGTTTGTTGGAGGGTTTAGTGGTCCCAGCCTCCTCCCATCTGAGCACAGAGCCTTCCGTGTGCCCTGCTTGGGGGTGAGTGACTATGCAGAGACAGCGTTGCTGTCCAGCCCAGGGCTGCGAAGATCCCCAGGCTGGTGTCTGTGGACCTGAGTACCCCTATCCTGTCCTGCTTCATACTCTGTGCCCGGCCCACGTCTAGTTAGCCACAGCAACAACTACTGCAAAAACCTAGTGGTGGAAACAGCCATGCATCACTATTGTGCGTCAGTTCTGTGGGTGAAAGGCAGGTCCAGACAGGCTCCAGGAGGACAGGGTCCTCTCAGCTCCATGGGGTATGATGTGAGCCAGGCATTTGTTTCTGTCTTTCTCTGTATCTTTCCCTGGCTCTTTGCCTGTTCCTGCTACTCTGGCTTCCTCCTGGTATGGTGCTCTCATATATCCAACTCAACCATGGCTGCGAGGCTCTGGGAGTGGGTATTCCAAGGGGTCTGGGTGGAAACTGTGAGTCTTATTAAGACATAGACTCAGAAGTCCCAGATCTTTGCTCCTACCACATTCTGTGGTCCGAGCACTTCTGGAAGTAGGTAACTGGATTCACCCATCAAGGAAAGCAGCTGAGAACACAGTGTCCTGTTTAATCAGCCACAACTCATCCCAAGCTGAGCAGCTCCTTGAATCCAGGTGTCCCACCCATAGCTCTGTCATTTCTCAAGGGCCCTCAAAGTTGACTCAGGGCTTGCTTGGGGCATTTCCGGGCAACCTTAATTGCCAGTGTTTATTTCTCCAAAGGCCGATTCAGCCAGTGAGTGCTTGGAGGGGGCTAATGAGCCCAGATGACCCCTGAACTGCACCTGGTGGTTCAGGGTTCCCTTCTCCAAGCTTAGGGTCAGGATTAGGGTAACAGGAGAGGACTGTACTGTAAACCACTAGTCCTGGAAAAGACCAGCTCAAGTACAAGTTTCTATTAAGTGGGACAAAGTGTATGCCATCCTATACCATTGTAAATTCAAGATGTGTTAAGACTGCCTAAGTAAAGAGTCATCTGTAAGGAACACACCTCACACTGACGTTTCATCCTCTCATTGGGAGTCATCTATGCATCATTGAACCCTCTTGCACATAATTTGACTGGAAGCACAGATCCTGGGCTAGGCACATAGGAAAGGTGCCACCCAGGGTTTTTCGGGGTGGTCTGCCATACTGGAACCGCTGCTTGCCATCTCCATCAGGGACTGCAGCACCTCGTGCTGCATGCCCCCGGTCCAGCCCTCCCCCAGCCTGCCTGAGCCAGGATCTAGCCCCATGGTCAGGATGCTGCAGCCAGCGACCAGTTCAGTGGGACCCAAGAGCCCAGGTTTAGGGCCTGCCTAGAGGATGAGCTGGAAGTGGCCGAGGTGGAGCCCTTCCGCACCGACATGCCTGTCGCTGCAGACTGCAGACTGCATCTTGCTGCTCAGAGTCACCTTCCTAAGCGTCATTTGCAAACGGGTGCAAGTTCAGCCACACGCATAGAGCAGCTCGGCCCTGTGCCGCAGCACTTTCTCCCAGCAGCACCTCTGTGGCCTGAGTGAATCCTGCTGCCCAAGTCACACTCTGGCCGGAGTGCGCCCGCCTCAGTGTCCTCTTGGAACATTTCCCTGGGGAGTGCAGAAGCAGGGCGAGCTGAGGTCTCTGAAGCTCTAGAGCACAAAGCTTGGCTCGGAGTAGCCAAGTGGAGCCTGGCCAACTAGGGCTTTACCAGCCCTGTCCCCTCCCTGCTGGCCATGTGCCGCTTGGCGCTGGTGGATCCCGGGTTCCTTGGGGATAGACCTGCGCCTGGGAGAGCACTCCTGGGTGGGGCTGCAGGGCCTCCTGCACGAGCTGCAGCTGCTGGAGGCCACAGACAGTATCTCCCGCCTTGCCTCACACTCAGCCTCTCCGGCCGTCCCCAGGCTTGCGATAAAGCAGGCCTGTCGGCTCCTTTTCTCTGCCCAGAGTGACAGACCCTCCCATTGCCTCAGAAGAACACAGTGTTTGTACAGGAGGGAGGCTCAGGATGCTGCTTGCTGTCCTGCAGGCTATAAATAGCGTACTGGGCAGAATCCAATAGTTTATTTGGTTCCAGAACACTGGGAGCTGTCTTTGCTCATTAAACAGGCTGCTGTTTGTCTGGGAAAAAAGCCCAAACAAAACAAAACACAAAAAACCTCATGAGTCCCCAGAGTGCAGCCAGGCAGGGCCCAAGCTTCTCGGAGGGGAGACAGGTGACCCACGGTGGCACCATTGTATGTCCAACATTCCCCTCCCTGGGGCCTAAGCAGGACCCCAATCCAGGGTCATCAGGTTTCTAAGGACCCCTCCCGAGGCTGTGGATCTTCCCAGCAGCCACTCCAGGTAGTGGCTCACTTGGCACCTGGGGACAGAAAACTCAGCACAGCACCGTCAGAGGAAGCAGCAGGAGCAGCCGCCCTTGGGCTCATGGAGTCCTGGCAGCTTCCGCGTCCACTGGTGATAGAGCCCTTTCCTCTGGGGAGACTTCTGACTTGTTTTTAGTTTGACACTGTGGACACAGAGCTGTAATGAACAAATATTTGTACGTGTGTCCTTGTGCTTTTAGGTACTTACCCTAAAAAATTGGCTCACTGGATGGAAGATACGGTACTTACATTTACAACAGTCCCTGCATTTTATACCCCAAGACTGTCCAATCCCACATAAAACCAAGAGCAGGTATGGTTGATGCCTTACTTTTAAATTTATTTTTAGTTTTTCATTTTGTGAGAGGCCGTTTGATGTGAGCAGGCGGAAGCTGTCTTGTGCTCCTGTCGGGCTCTGAGCTCCCTTCTCCCTCTAAGTTCCCTTGTGATGACCTTGCCCGAGTGGGCCTCGGTGAGGACTCATGTGGGACTCTGTGAGGTGGTGACCGTTCGGCCTGTGGGCCCCAACCCTCACCTTGTGGATCCTGTCAGGAAACTCATAAAAATGTATTTTCTAAAATACATGCTTTAACCGTAAAGAAAAGCATATCTGTGTCACTATAGGGTTGGCACTTGGTGTTTGTGCACCACGTGAGACCAGCACACACTGTGTCAGACTCCCCCCAGCATAAAGGAAGAGGCCTCCAGCTGCTCCTCGGTGCAGCCCTCTGCTCAGTGCTGGTGGGCTCTTCCCAGTACGGCTCTCTGCAGTGCTGGTGCTACCTCCAGCTTCCCACTACGCCACGGGCAAGCTCCCTCTGTCTTTTTGGGGAGGTACCAGAAATCAAACCCAGGACCTCACCCTTGCCAGGTAGGCACCGCGCCACTTAACTCCCCCCTGTCTTGTTGTGAATGTGATAAATGCTCAATAAACTATTGGATTGGGGGAGTCTGATTTTCCTGCAGCCCTGTTTCCTCCCTGCAGCACCATCAGGGTCTGCTCTCGGGGCTCCTCCTCATGGTGCTCCCCACTTCCCCATGCTGACACCCTGCATGGACCAACAGCTAGTCTGTGCCTTTGTCTCCCAATGTCCCATCCAGGCTCTGGGGACAACTGGTGCTGCACATTAGAAACTCCTGTCACTGTGTTCTGGGGGCTCACAAAAGGGGTGTGTTCCTGGCCACTGGGGCGCTGGACATGAGCGACAGGAGTCCATTCCAGGAGACACTCATCTGCACCAAGAGACCCTCCAGATGCTCTCCCCTCCTCACCGACCACTCCTCTCTGGAGGAGAGGTGTCCATGGCAGAGTCAGCCTCTGGGGATCCAGCCAGAAGTGCAGCCTCGATCATCTGACTGATCCATTTCTTCTGGCTCAAGGTTCCTTTCTTGCATTTCCAGCCACTGGAGCCCAGCAGGCATACAGGGCTCAGTTCTGCTCTTTTGAAGTCTGTCCCTGCACTGGACTGACAAGGTCCTAGGACAGGACAGACATCTTAGTTCCCCTTCATTCCTCACGGCCTTAGTCCTAGTGAAGAGGCAGCACCTGCAGAAAAAGCAGGGCACTTGGGCCCCGCATGAGGTGCTAGGATAGAAAAGTCAATGGGTGGGCTCAGCATGAGAAGATGCCAGCCAGAGGGGTGATCCTGGCACGGGGGTGAATGTCACATGTAACTTTCCCTGTGTGGGCAGCAGAGCAGACTCTCTGGACTCATAGCTAGCAGTCGAGCAGCCACCAGGCCTGGCCGAGAGACTGGCTGGTTCTGAGCACAGCTGCGGTTCTCTGGTTCTCTCACCGTGAGTTTAGCATTAACATCAGATATTCTTGTCGCTTCTGCAGGTTGGAGTATTGAAGTAAGCATCCCGGGGCCCTAAATCCTGCCCATCTGCAACTGAAAATGTGGCTGAACACCCTTAATATCAGCCCTGAGAGCTCTCCACCCCACTGGAGGGATGGGCGTGTCCATCTCTGCCCGTGTTATGGGTGGCGAAGCCACACTCTGACCCCATCCTCCCACGTGTCTGGCTTTCTCTAACACATTTCCAGAAGGACTCCCAGGGCTTCTCATTTTGCTCTGCTTTGGAATTGTCCCTCCTGAATTAACTCAGATCATTTACTTGCCTTTCATTGTTTTCCTGTGGGTCACTTGCCCTAGAATTGTTATACACTCTTCCTTCAGCTTCGGTGTCTTAAAAAACAAAATCACTCAAGCCCTAACTGTGTGGCAGGAGAATGAAATGAAGCCCTGAAGCCAGTTTGCAGGGTTGCCTTCCCACGCCAGCAATGGTGATCACAGGGCTGCCACCTGGGTCTGCAAGGGGTGCAGGGGGTGTGGGCAATCTACCTCCTCACAGAACCCACCCCACCGCCACCACTGCCAGGCGCAGGAACCAGGAAAGCCCTCCCAGGACGTGGGGAGATAGCGCCATCACACAAGATGCCAAACATGCATAGAAACACAGATGCCCCACAACCCACCACCAGCAGTTTTGGTCTTCTATGCAAGTCAATGCGTCTGTACTCTGATTTCGGCAGACCAGAGCTATGCTGGCTTCCCAGTGTCCCTGCAGTGTGCAGAGGCTGGAAGCTGAAAACAATGTCCTCTATACTAATCCCTTGCAACTTGATCCTGGGCGTCATTTCATTGCAGTGTGATTAACAGCATGTGCTGAGCTGGTTTTGCAGGGCAGGAGGAGTGGGTTCACTGTGCCCGTGTTGACCTGGAGGGCTGGGAAGGAGGCCTTGCATGCTGCTGCAGCTTCAGGGAAGGTCCCAGCTCCAGGCAGTGGCTGCACCAGGGCACCAGGGGGGTGTGGAGCAGGCATTTTGCTGATGATCCTGGCACAGGCATTCGCTTGCAGTCTGGGCTCCTACTTCTCTCCAGCCTCCAACTAAGGCCCCACATGTATCACGAGACTATTTGGTGAGTGTGACCCATGCCCCACGCAGAGGACTGCTTTCAGCGGGACACGCTCCCCGGAGTGACAATCTATGTCCAGGTGACATAATAAATGGGATGCACCAGGCCTGAAGCAGCCTTCACTGTGGGTGATGGGCAGTTTCCGCATTGGCTTCATGAAAGACACTGAGCGGTGGCCCTGGGCGCACTGGATTTGCTGTCCCATCTCCTCCATGCAGCCTGACCTCCTCGCCCTCCATGGCTGCAGGCCAAAGGCAGCCCTTGGGCCTGCTGTCTGGGTACCACCTTCTCCTTGTGAAAAGCTCAGCTGGACAGGGTTTCACTCTGCCCACCTGACCCAAATGACGGTTTTCTGTGCTCCTCACTTAATTGCCACAAATATGCTGAGTGGTTGTTAACAGTTGACATAAACTCCCTCCTTCCTAGGCCATGCCCCTCACTTCCCAAGGAAATTAAAGAAAAATTCTCTTTTTTATTTTTAACTTTAAAAATTTTGTCTCACTTATACATCACAATTAGACATATTTATGGAGTTTCATGTGATATTTTCACACATGTATTCAATGAGTAACGACCCATTAGAATAACTGACATTTTACTCACCTGGGATGTTCTTTTCTTTTGTGCTGGGAACCTGAAAATCTCCCCTTGGAGCTGTCTTATTGTGCTGTGGTGCTCGAACTCACTGCTCCTATTTAACTGTTCCATCCTCTCTGTCCCTTCCCCCACCTGCTGATTACTAGCATCTACCAGCCGACTCCCTGATCCTGGGGATCCGTGTTTCAGCTCTCACATTTGGTAAAGACAGGTGTGATTTGTTCCACCAACACAGCACCCTCTTGACTTAGCCACTGCAGCTCTCCACCCAGTCCACGCACCTTGGACTCTGCTCAGCGCTGGGCAGCCTGAGCCGGGGCCTGGGTGTCCCCCGTAGTGCTGGGAACTAGCAAAGGAAAAGCAGAGGTGCCCTTGTGATGCTGGCTGCTGCCAACACGTAGTGCCAGGACAGGGGTGGTGACAGTGAGAGACCCAGGGAGTCCCCTAGAACATCTCCTGCAAAGGACAGAGAGCAGAACACGGAGGTGGAACAAAGGACACCTTCCTCCAGGGCCACAGCCAAGGGAGGGAACCTCGTAGAGCCACAGAAATGGAGGACAGGCTTCCAGCTCGCAAAACACTGTGGGTCTCAGGTTTTAAAGTTATTATTAATCTGATTCATGCAGAATACACTTACGAAAAGGAATGAATTCAGCTGGCCCTGCAGAAATGAACAGAGCTCTTCCAGATCAAGAGTGCCGCGCAATCAAAACTCGAGCTTCCTCATTCTATGCTGCGTCTGGAGCACACAGGAGGAAATTCACACAGGCACGGGGCTGTGCAGGCCTATCTTTAACCAACAGGTATTTTCCCGCTGGGGCTCTGGCCTATTTCTGGATCAGAAACTGGACTCATGTCCTCAAAGCCTTCTCCCCACCTGGTGCTGGCTGGGCCCTGTGGTGGGGAAAGTGCAGCCTTGAGGTCTAACAGAAAGCGCAGCTCTCCCCTTCCTAATGGCTGGGAGAACGCCAGCATTCACAGTGTCCATCTCTGCATGGTCACAGAGGCTGAGGCTGAGCTCAACCGATCCAGTCTCATTTGTACTTGGTTCCACTTAAATGAACAACGCAAATCCCACGTCCTCCAGGACTCCTCTCCGAGGCTTCCTTTCTAGGACTTCATTTCTAGATGGAAGCTGTTAATGACCACTCTGCTCTGATACTGTGAGTTCCTATCCATGGAGCTCCTTTCCATTTCTTCCAGGCCAGTGTAAACACTCAAGACCAGTGGCTTCCTAGTGTCAACCTAGGTGGCACAGAAGCTGGCCAGGCCTGTGTGGATTGCCCGGGGCATCCACTGGAGAGCCGGGCTTTGAGGCAGGGGCGGGAGGATCGTGGGTCTCCAGCTGTGACCGCAGCAGAGCCCACACCGCATTCACCGCTGCAGGAGGGTGCACCAGGCTGCACTGCTGACTCCAGGGCGCATCTCGCATCCACTTCGGTGAGTGTTGCTCTCTTCTGCTCCCACTGCACCCCTGCACACACATTTCCACGTGACGGTGCTCACGGGGGCTCAGTGTGGGCACTGGTTGACGTGAATCTCTTACTGTACAGATGAGAAAAGTGGGGTAGAGACATGCAGCTGATCAGGGATTGCCAAACGGAGCCGCAGATCAGCCAAAGATCTAAATATGGGGGCAAGATAAGCACAAGCACGGTGGCATCCAAAGGCAGCCAGCCAAGTCCTTCCCGCTCCAGGAAACAGCTGAAAGAAGAGACACGAGGAAGACAGAGGAAGACAGTCAAGATTAGTGGGGATAAACTCCGCATAAAACACAAGGAGATCACAATGACAAAAGAACTCCAGGTCTAGGAAGTGGGAAAGGTGACTGTGAAAACCTCTGTAAAGCAGCTGAGTAGTAAAACAAACAGGACTGAAGGACAAACCAGGGAACTAAAAGGTTCAGAGGTTCCTGTGGGATGTCCTTCCCTGGGAAGAGGGGTCAGAGGGAGACCAGCCATGTGTGCAAGTTCCTGAGTGTCACCGGGACCCCAGGAGGGAGAAGACAGAGAAGCAGAGGAGGGAAAGAGGCAAAGGCAACAGAACAAAACAGATGAGCATTTGTTGTAGTCAGGGGAGAACAATTAGAATCAGGACATGGAGTTTATAATATTGTTATATGATAGTCACCGGGAGTTAACACAAGAAACTGCAGGAAATCTATCCACAACACCAAAGACATAGAATATTTAGACAAGGGCCTGAATCCCACAGCAATGTCCCACATGAGTACAGATAAAAACCCAGAGCTCATGACAATGCCTCCCACAAGTCCAGCTGGAGGTTCAGAGCCTATAAGAACGACTCACGCCAGTCTCTTTTATGGATCTGTGCCGGGAAGGCCCAAAGGTCAGTGGTGGAAGCCAGAAAGTCCATGACAGTGGTGTGAAGGAGCTGTGCTGGTGGGATAAGGGGTCTACGCTGGAGCTGAGAAGTCACACTCACAACAAAGACCAGGGCTGTCCTGAAAGCACTACTCCCATCCTCAGCAACACGGAGGCCCCAAGCTCCTCCGACGACAAGCACAGTTGGGTACAGGCCAGGAAGCCAGTGTGACGAGTTCATCCTGGAGACCAAGCAGCACATGTCTTCCCCTCTGGAGCCAGGAAGCAGGGCTGAATGTGAGGACAAGAGCTTCTCCAGCGGAACCAACAGCTCAAACAGCAACTCGCAGGAGAACCCGCAAGGCCTTAACACAATAGCTTCTCCTTCTCCACATCTCTATTTATGCTGGCAACTTTCCTCAGGTAGGACATCTACACTCATTTACACTCTGCCATGCTGATAGAATCCAGCTGGCGTTAAGTTGACCACCAGTTTTTAATCCGTAACAGCATTGTTTTTTGCTTTGAAAAGCAGGCTGACCCCTGGGCACATGACCCATTCCACAGACTAGCCCTAAGGTCCACAGTCTCAGTACTGGTGGGTCAGGACCATGGACAAGCCCTGAGGTCCTCGGGACCCAGCACCAGCAGATCAGGGGTTGTTGCCATCTTGGAATTCTTATCATCTTACATGGAATGACATGAAACAAGCAGAACCACCAACAGCAGGTCAGAGAGAGAATGTGGAAGAAAAAGAAAAGCTTTATTTATTTATTTATTATTTATTTATTTTATTGGGTATACATATCTGTTTTTTCTAGGTTCTATAAATTGGAGAGCTGGCCCCTTTTAAGGGACCTACCAAATTTATAGCAGAATATAATTTTTAAAGATTTACTTTGGGCTGCTAAGGGAAGGGGAGTTTTTGAAGTTCTTTGGGATAGAAGGTAGAGTTCATTCATTAGAAATGCAGCAAGCAAGAGTGGTGACAGAGGACCCAGGCCAGGAGCCCTGGGCCATGTGCTGGGCTGGACACGGAGGGTGACCGTCCTGGCCCCAGGCTCAGGCTGTGGGGCATCAGTTGGGCCCTGTCCCCATCAGGCCTGAAGAGTGAGGCCAGGGGAGCAGGATGTGGCCTAAGGACTGGGGCAGACACTTGGGTCTGTGTCTGAGGTCCTGGGGGTCCCCATGGAGCTTACTTCACACAGTAGGCACAGGGCCTGCCTGGAACAAGGCCAGGGGCCTGGACACAGCCTGGTGGGGCTGTCACAGTGGGGCTATGGCTGGGACACAGGCAGGGCTTGGGCCAGGAGGTGGAAAGGGCAGTGAGGCCAGAGCTGAAGGATGCCCGAGTATCCTGTGGCAGTGCATGGTCAGGACAGCTGTGTGAGCTCAACTCGCCAGACACCATGTGCACACGCACAAACACGCATGATCCTAGAAATGTGCAGATCGGTGCATGCACAGACACACAGACGCACATGGACAGACAGGCACAGGTACAGACATGAGAGACAGGCTGTGGAAACGTTCCCTTATACTCTTCAGATACAGAGAACTCATCCAAGCATTCGCTTCAGGCAAGCAGCCCCTGGTTGTGCCAGGGCCTGTGGTAGCTGGGGAGGGGTGTTTTGCTGACTCCCCTTCGAGCTGGGTTGAGTGAGCCACAGCGCTGGTGCCAGGGTGGGTGGAGGAAGTGGCCCTGCTGTCTGGTAGCAGTGGCCACTACACTCATGGCTTTGTCCCTGGGACGTGAGCACTGCAGGAGTGGGAAGGCTGGGGCCAGCTCAGGGTGGAGAGACGCTGGGGTTTACTGACCCAGTGGGAAGGAAAGCAAACAGCCCCTCGATCCTCAGCAGCTGGCCAGGACCCAGAGGGGCTCTAGCCCCAGGTGCAGGGGACCCTTGTCCCAGGCATGCTGCACCCTCAGCATGTGCTCTGCTCTTCAGCCATAGGCGAGAGCTGCAGGGTCCTTGGCATCTAGCCCAGGAACTTTCTTTCCTGCTGAGCAGAACACACTGAGCCAGGACGGTGGCCCCAGCTGTGATGGTCAGGGGCTGATGGGCCCCAGCTGGGGAGTCGGGACCATGGTGTCCTGATCCTCATGCATGGCTCAGATCCAACCTCCGAGGTCAGCAGTGAGCTACACCTGCTGCAAAGGGCCAGACCCCTCCACGGGTTACAAGGCAGGGCTGGTGTGGGTCACCAGGGGCATCTGTGGGGCCACAGCAGGGCCCAGCTGGAAGGAGGCTGGGGAGCCATCGCCCCATCCCAGGGGCATCACCAGAGTGTTCATCAGCTTCCTGCCACTGTAACAAGGATTGTAAGCAACTTGGAAAAGATCTGTTTAGGTCACAGTTCTAAAGGATCCAGTCCAAAACCCAGAGGACCACTGCTTTAGGCCCCCTACGGAGGCATCAGACAGAGGGGCAAGGTGTGCATGGCAGAGCAAAGCCCAGGAAGCAAAGGGGAAAGAAGAGGGGATAGGGCCCCCTAGTTTCCTCTGGGGCATGGCCCAGTGACCGATCGACCTTCCTCACCTCCCAAAGGCTCAGGGACACCCCAACTCGGAATGGACGACACTGAAGCAGACACCATGGCTGGACCGATGTGGGCCTGCTCAGGAGCCTCTCCATCCACAGGGGGCCCGAAGGCCTGGAGTGCAGGACCCCTGGACTGGGCGTGGGACTGCAGAGCTTTGCAGGAACCCAAGGCCAGACCTGGCCATGGCCTCAGAGGAGCTGCCTAGTAAGTCCCTATCCTATGCACCTGCTCTGAACACCGGCAGGCCTGGGCACTGCTGCCCTTGCAGGAGTGGACCTGGAGGTCTCCCTGAAGTGCTGTCCTGATCACAAGGAAAACTGTCAGATAGACTTGCTCCCTCCTGCTAGGTGTGGCTCTGGAGCGGCATGGAGGGCTGTGTGACAGAGGCTGTGCCAGCACAGGCATGCTGTCAGGAGGTGGGGCTCCTTTAAGAGGCGGGCCTTGCGGGAGTAGTCAGGACGTGGGGGTGTGGCCTCCAAGGGGACCTGGGACCCCAGACTCTCCTGCTTCCTGGCCATGGGGCTCCTCCATCCACCTGCTCTTGCCATGAGGCGGCATCCTAGGCTGACAGATGGTGGGCCTGAGTTGTGAGCCGGTCCAGCCCTGCTGTTTTCACATAAGAGGCCTTCTCAGGTGTCCTCTGTGTCTTGGAGCTGCCGTCCCTCATCCCATTACATCTCTCTAGGCAAGTCCCTTTCCTCCTCCACAAGCACCAGATTGCCCTGGCCCAACAGTGCTTTGTGGCAGCCTCTGCTTCCAGTGGGCAGGAGGCTCCTGAGACATCCTTGCTGAGGGCTGGGCGAGGCCCACCAGTGGGCAAATTGCTGAGCATGGGTGAGGCCTGGCTTTGCCCTCCAGTCCCTACAGAAAGCAGCAGGAAAGTGCCCTGGTGCCATCGCTGCCTGTTCCAGGCACTTGCCCTTCTGAAGTTCCACCGTGCTGGGAAGGCGGCAGGGATGCCCTGTGTCCCATTTCCCTGGGCTTCCAGCTGAGCCAAGACCAGTGAGCAACATGGGCCTGAGGAACTCGTTTCCACACCATGTCAGCCCATAGCCCTCGCAGAGGCCAGCATCTGGTGAGACATCAGCTGGTCCCACCTCTGCAGTGACTTCAGTAGGGACAGCATGAGGGCACAGAGCGACCATCCGTAGCTTTTCCACAGGCCAGGGGTGCAGGGCATCTGGCCTCCAGCTCCCACTTTGGTACACCTGGGGTCCTTTGGTCCTGCAAACTGACGTCCTCAAAGATCAGCACAGGAGTTCTATCCAGCAAGACTCCAAACCCCAGCATTGTGGGTTTGTACTTAGAAAGTCAGCATTACTGCTGCTGCTATCATCATCTGTGCGAGGTCAAACGTACTGTAAAAAGCGTTTACAAAGCCCTCACGTAGAGGGATTCTGACCCACACTGCAAACCTGATGCATATTCCTATAGTATCTGAAGAGCCGCTTTGCGTGTGAAATAAACAGAATAGGTTGGGTAGCTCAGTGGTAAAGGGGGAAGCCACATGCTTGAGGCTCTGAATTCACCTCCAGGAGAGAGAGACAGAGGAAAGAGGAGGAAGAAAGAGGTAGAGAAGGAGGAGCAAGGGAGGGGAAAAAGAAAAAGAAGGAAGAAAGACACATGCCCCTCCCCACTCACCCTGCTCTCCTGCCCTGGGCTCCAGGCCTCTGGCGACATCTACCGCACGACAAACTCCAAGATGCAAATGCTAAAGTCAGTGCCAGATTATCTGTAAAGCGGTCAGCCTCTGTGGCACTGAGTTTGCATGCTGATGAGGCTGCTCTGCGGAACTCAGGCCCCTAAGAAGCTGCACGGATGTAGAAGGGTGTGTGTCATCTCATCCACAGCAAACCTATGAGGCTAGTGAGATTTGGGGTTCTCCAGGGACATAGCTCCTGGATTCTGGGGATCCAGGGGAAGGTATTTCTGACAGACACTGGCTGATGGGGAGGCCTAGGAGAGTCAGAGATGTTGCCGGGCCCAGACCAGGGGCCTGGTGTGTGTCCTGGCTGAGTCCAAAGCTCCCAGACCAGACTCCACGGTGAGGACAGAAGAGGCTGGGGTCCCCAATCGAGCACATAGCAGATTCACGGTTCCTTATTTATCTGTTCTATCCAGGCCTCCACCAACTGGATGGGGAATTTCTGGGGTCACAGCTGTTTCCCTGCTGTGTCCCCAACAGACACATCCATCCTCCCTCAAGGGCACACAGTGTTTGGTAGTGAGCACAGAAAGAAACTTCTGCCAGTGGGTTACTGGGGTGACTGAGTGATGTCACCCCACCAGCCGTTCTGATGCCTGTACCCTCGAATCCTGGCTGTTGGCTGTGTCCACCGGCTGGATGCAGTTCGGCCTAGCAGCCTGAGCCCTGCACCGAGCCTCCCTGGGCTCGCTGGGGTGGGGATGGGGTTCCCAGAGGCACTGAGGCACCCCAGGAGGTCCCCAGGCCACGTGGCACCGCCTGGCTGTCAGTCAGTAGGGGGAGCTGAGGGAATTTGTAGAACACCGCACTCCTCACGCCCAGTAGTACGGTACCTCCCGTGTGGCACAGAGGTTTTCCCGGACCAGTCCGGAAGGCAGCTCGGCCTTGGCCTTGACGCTGTCTTGAAGTCAACAGGAGACAGCGGGGTTCCTGACGCGCTGCGGGTGAGAAGGTGCTAGAAGCCAAGTGGGGTTCAGCAGAGCTGTGGGTCCATGGTCTCTACCCACACCCACATTACTCCGCTGCAGATTTCAGGGTTCAGTTTCCTCACCTGGAGAGCACACGCTGGATGAGACCCTGGCAGGACTCTGTGTCCTGAGAACCGCACTGTGCACGTCCTACGGGAGCTCCTTATTTCGTCTTCCCGATTTTCCCCAACCAAAAGCCCGGGGTGTCTGGCCTCCCACTGCCTGGAAGACCCTCTCCGGGTGCCAGTGAAAGTCAGAGGGCTGCAGGCTTCCGGCTCGGACGTCCCCCACCCAGGCTCAGCATGGCCGCATTTGCACCGCAACCAGCGGAAACAGGCAGAGCCACGCAGGTCTTCAGCAGCGGCGAGGAGGAAATTGCTTCGACCCTCTCCCTGCGATCTCGGGACTAGAGACTGTCCCCGAACCCTGCGGCCTCTGCTTTGAACACAACGCACACGACACGTGCGTTTACACCGGCTGAGTGGGATTTCCAGACGTGCATCGCGCTGCTGTCGCTTGCGAAAATAGTGCGGCAGGAGGCTGCGGCTCTGCTTCCTGCCTGTGGGTGCACGCGCAGCCCTCGCCTAAGTGCTACCGCCGCCTCGTGGTCACTCGCATGGCGGCAGCGATTCCTGAGCGCTAGGTCCTGGCATCTGGCAGCCCACTTTCTGCCCATTCGATTCCTCCCCACCTCCCGCTTTGGGACATTTTGGGTGAAGGCCTGTAATGCCCCCGCTCTGGGAAGCCGAGGCAGGAGAGTCTCACGTTCAAGCTCAGTCTCAATAATTTGGTGATGTGGCTGTTTCAAAATGTATTTTTTAAAGAGCTGGCGATGTAGTTCAGGGTAAAGGCCCTGGGTTCAAACCTTAGTGGAGGAAAAGAAATTGGCAGGAGTGGAGAAAGAATGCGAGCAATGTTGCCCCCTACCGGCTACTCTCGGAGCTACTGCAAAGGTGAAGTCCCCGAGGCCGTGGGTCTTGCCCGTCTGACCTTGGGACTCCAGGGATAAGCAGACTCCAACGACGGGATCGGCCCTGGGCTCCCGGTGGGAGCCGCTGCTGAGGGCTGCACCAGCCCTTTGTCACCGTAGCGGGCGCGTGGGGCCGGTACTCGGCGGGATTCCCGAGCCGCTCCGCTCCGGCCGCGCCGCCGACCTCGAGCCGGGTGGGCCCCGCGGGCCGGCAGCGCGCGAAGCAGTGCCCGCGCAGTGCCCCGGCGGTTCTCTCTCCAGTACTTTCCGTCTGGATCTGGCTGCAGCCACGGAGCCGTGGACGCCGAGGGCCTTAGACCCCTGGCTGCGCAGAGCGAAGGCGCTAAGGAAGCCAGGAGAGCCCGCGCCTTCCCACCGCCACGCAGCCTCGCCCCACTCAGGCGGGGCCCGGGGTCCCGCGCCCCGGGAGCCTCAGTGAGGGCCTGGCTTGTCCCCGACGAGCTCAGCCCGCGCCTGGTTCCGTCTGCGGCTCCGCGCGCTCCTCGTGCGTGTGGCGCCCCCCGCCCTGGCTTCCTCGTGGGCAGGAGAGAGCAGGGACCCGAGCAGAGCCCGTGGGCGCCGAGCGGCTGGAGAACATTGTCCTGCCGCGGGGCCTCTGGCTGGGGAGGTGGCTCAGTGGCACAAGGTCCTGAGTTCGATCCCCGGTACCACAAACAACAGAAACAACAGAAAGGGACACGGGGCCCCGCAAAGCCGCCCTCTGCGCCAGGGTACACGGCATGACCCCCGCATCTGACTCCTGTCCCTTCCCTGTGGAACCTCCGGCTCTGCTCTAGCTGCTGAAAGCGGAATCCGCAGGAGGTCCAGGCCCGGGCCAAACGGGAAAGACGCCCAAACTGTCCACCAGGGGGCGCCCCTCAGCGGAGTAGGGGCTCGGCTTGGCACTGCGCATGCGTCCAGCCAGGCTGCACCACTCCACCCCACCCACCCCCCGCCCCCATAATGCTCAGCCGCGGAGCTCTGGCACACACGCATTGCACACACACAACACACGTATATACAGTCACGACACACAGAACCACATCTCACACACACACCATATATAAACACACGCTACAGGTACACTCATACAATACAAACACAGACATATATCACATAAATATACCACACAGATACAAATATCACACAGGTACATACACACATACTGCACAATATACATACATACCATCATACAAGTATATGTGTAAGCGCAACACACACTGTCTTGGTAACTTTTCTCTCCTTGCTGGGACAAAATACTCAACACCCAAAATGAAGGAAGGAAAGGTTTATTTAGCTCACAGTTTGCAGAGGTTTCAGTCCATACTCAGCTGGCTCCAAGGCAGGGTGGCGTGGCACTGGGGCAACACTTCAAGGCAGCAGAAAAGCAGCCAGAACAAAAGTGGGGAGGGCACGCCTCGCCTCTTCTCCTCCCTTATATTGTAAGCAGGCTTCCCACCTAGGGTGAGTGTAGCACTCACACCATCTCCTTGCCCTCCTCTTGCACAGGTTGAGGGTGTTTACAAAGTGAGGACCCTGGCCCCTGCTGATTCGCTTCCTTAACCTTCTAAACTTCTCAAGTTGCACAAGGAACAACATCCTAGAGCAGTAAGTGCTTGTCCTCTACACCCCAGGCTGGAGAGCTACTGAGTCACTTAGTGAAGCTCCCAGACTTCTCAAGCTGACACGGAGTATCAACCGTGACACACATAGTTATATACATATATACACACATAGACACATACCACACACTCAGATCACAAACCTGCAAACCTACAGACATGGCACACACACACACCAGATAACTCACAATATAAACACATAACACTGGGGCACACACACCTACATCCTTGGACATGCCTGTAGTGAGGACAGCACAGCGGGGTGAGGTCCCAGTGGCCGGTCCAGAGCCTATGCTCCAGGTCCTGAGAGACAAAGAGCAGGTTCCCGAGAAGACCCCCTGCCTAGGCACCCCACCCTGGAGACCCATCGTTCCTGTGCTCAGGTGCTGGGATGACACAGAGCAAAACGCCTCGGGGAAGCAGTGAGGATGGGTGCCTGTTCACGTCACGGGGAGAAAGCCCAGAGTAAATGCAGTGAGTGGATGCAGCAGACACTTGCTGCGTGGGGGTGGGGGCTGCCATGCCCAGCTTTACGGGCTGGGTTTTCTTACACCGAGCCCCTTGCCCACCCTCTGCATGTTGGAGACTCTCCTGCCTGGGCCGAGCAGAGGCCCCCACCCAGCCGCACGGCAGGCAGGCATACCTCTGGGAGGACAGGACACCCGAGGGCACCTGTGCTTCCCAGGGCCTAGTGCACACAGCCTAGGCTGGTGTGGACACCGCATTCTAGGAGGTCTGGGGTGGAGACACCGTCCTGGGTGGCTGTGGTCATTTTCTCTCCTCCCCACCCCACCCATTTCCTGCAGGACTGGCCAGGCAGGCTGTCCTAGGCCCTCTGCTGCTGGGCCAGGACAGCCGAGCTGCAGCAGCTACTGGCAGGCAGTTTAGAAGGTGGTCTGGCCCATGGCTCAGCGGGAAACATGAAGTCCTCCAACAGGGTGAGGGGAGGAAAGGGCTACCCACTGGCTTTTCACCTCATCTAAGTGAGGAAGAGATGTATATGCCCAGATTACATCCTTCACTCACTGTTCCACAGCAGGAGGACATTCGGGGTAAACTGGGTCATGGAAAGACTTCCTAAACCGGAAGCTTTGAGTCCCCAGAGTTACAACTGCCAGCATTAAAGCTTGGCTCAGAACACCTCCAAGCTCAGCCCTGCTGTGCAGGGTACAGGCTGGACCTGTGGGGATGATGGCCTAAGGGACAGGTCCCAGGAGGGACAGGCCTGGGGAGGAGGGACTGGGGAGGGGCAGGCAGGTGGGGGTGGGGGTGGGGTGAGGGTAGAGCTGAGGAGGGGCAGGCAGGCCTGGGGAGGGACCGGATCAGCCCACTGGGCTTCGCAGCGGGGGCTCTGGAAGAGGGATCTTGCTTTCTTACAGGCTAATTTTGCAAAACTATGAGACAGAAGAAGCAGAATCACGCTTTCCCATGAGGCAGGCACCACCATGTGGATCAGTAAGAGACTCAGCAAGAAGACAAACCAGCCAGTGGGGCTGGGAAACCAGAGGAGCATCCCACCCACCATGGGTAAGCAACCGGCTGATTCGGAGGACTCTGGGTGAGATGACAGCAACTGAGATGAAAGGAACAGCTGGATGCTTGTGTTTGGCTGACCTGCAGGCTGAGGCTGGTGGTCAGGGCGTCTACCTGGAAGACAGCGGTGCGCGTTGTGGGAACTGTGGGAGATTTCCTCTTGTCTTGTTTTTGAAATCCCATGTTTTGTTCCATTTCACTGTTTTGTTTTATTCTTGTGTTGAGTGGCCTGAGCAACTACCCTGAAGATAGCAATGTGCAGAATCACAACCATTGTTAAATTCCTACCACCTTGTTTTGAAAACCTATGTACAGATATAGGTGCTTTAGTTTAGTTTTGCTTTTGTTGTGTTTTGTAGGTTTGTTTGCTTCTCGGTTTATCTATTTTTTCTTTTTTCTCCTAAAACAAAACAAAGCCACGAGACAGTGGTGGCCTCGGACCTGTCTGCATCTGCATAATGGAGCATCGGAGTGTGGACTCCAGCTCCCCTCACTGCATCCAGACACTCTTGTTTCTTTCCTTCTTGTTAGGACAGATCATATGTTTTGTGTGCATGCGTGTGCCCATATTTGCGCATGCTTGTGCACAAAGACTGGCCCTGAGCTATAGAGTGGACCATGAATGTCCTCCTAAGCCCGCATGACTCTGGAGTGTCAGGCCCAGTGCCAGAAGTCGGCCCTGTGGGCCAGGCCCCGGGGAGGGGATGATGGGACCTGCTCCTTCTCCTCAGCCTCCTGCTCCCCACCGCAGGCTGCTGCCGTCCTGCAGGTCCCCAAGCAATGGGTCAGGAGAGAGTGGACCGCAGCCTCTGACACCATGAGCACCATGAGCCTTTCCTCCACCAAGCAGCTTCTCAGGCATAGTCACAGGGCAGGAGCACCGACCTCTGTGGACTGACAGGAAGGATTGCCTCGCAGCCAATGGAGGGGGCTGAGTAACTGCAGCCTGGTCACTGCCCCTCCCGTGAGAGACTCTGCCCTTGAGCCCTAGCACACCCCCTGCAGGCTGAAGAGGGATTCGCGTCCCCAGCCCTGTGCAAAGCCTGAAAGGAGCGGCCCCCCGTGCTGCATGGACTGGTGGGCGTCATGACCGATCCAGTGGTGGGAACGGACTCGGCTGCGTTTGCAAAGGAAACTGATTGCTGCATGGCCTCCTACACCCCGGGTCCGGGTCCCCGGAGGATGCCTCAGAACATGCTGCCAGTCACAGGCGAGGGTGTGGGGAAGGTGGGGCAGAGAGGCCCCAGGGCTGTAACTGACCCGCAAGACTTGCTTTCGTTGGGCTGGATGTGGTGGTGCATGCTGTCGTTTCAGCCACACGGAAAGCTGAGGCAGAAGAATCTCAAGTTCCAGGACAGCCCAAGCACCTTAGTGACACTCTGGCCTCAAAATTTGAAAAATTAAGAAAACTCTACTTTGCATTCCCTGGAGCAGATACATTTCCACAAGCTAGTGTCCAAGAAAGAAAGGAACCCTGCAGTATTTATCCCAGACTAAGAGATAACCCAGAAGCCCAGTTTCCTCTACACTCTCTCAGATAACTCTGTCCCTCCCCGAATGAGACCATGTTTGCCAGTCAGCCCTGAAGTCTGCCCTTGTATCCAATCGACAGGCCTGGTCTTACAAGCCCTCCCTGCTTGCACTGGGGGGAGTGACCAGGCCATCTCAGCGATTCCCAGCGTCACAGGACCCCTTTCTGGCATGAGTGTGGGCGCCCAAGGCTGGCGCCGTCCCCAAGCCACAGTAGCTCACCAAATCGCTCTGAGAGATGTGTGGGCCCAGGCATCCGCTGATATGTACGACATGGACTTGGCACCCTCCAGGGACAGGTGATGAGATGATCATGGGGACCCATCCTAGCTACTCTGTGTCACCACAGTCCCAGGGCTGGGGCAGGTTGACTCTCTTCCGCTCTCAAACCACTGACTTGGGTGACAGGAGAAGAGAGGCCCAGGGCCCAGGAAGGTCCCTCGAGGCCTAGTCCAGAGAGAAGGGAAACACGCACAGGAAGTGTCTCTGGACAGAGCACTGCCCCATGCTGACTGCTGATGGTGATTTGGAGTGGACTCTGGTATGTGTGTATTGATGTGATCCACACATACTGTCTGCTGTATATGTTTGTGCAGTGGGTATGTGCTTATAGGTGGTATGTGTGCAGTATGTTTGGTGTATGTGTATATGTGTATTTACACATGTCATATATGTACGCATGATTGTGTATGTGTGCATATATACATGCATGCTTGTGCATTCACTGCATGCACTTGCATGTGCATTTTCACTCATACATACCATGCATGTACACAATGCAATATGCACATGCATGCACATGTGTGTATGCATGTATGTGAGAGAGATCTCTCTAGAACAGATCAGGGCTCTGTGATCCTCTCCGTCTTGTCCTGATGCTCTTGGGAGTCTCTGGAGAGAAGGCAGAGTTGACACCCTTGCCACTCAGGGTTACTGGGCTTTCCTCAGTCCTCTATCTGGTAGGGTAGGGTGTGGGCTTGCAGCTCCTCACTGCCAGAGCCACGGCCCAAGAACAGGTCGCAAGCCTTCTCCATGGCAGGGTGGGGCTGCGGTGTGGCCAGTGTCCGGCTGCTTATATCTGCCTTTGGAGCAGGCAGGGGACACAGCCTGCATGCTCACAGGACATGTATGACACCTGCTTAACACCAGCGGTGGTGATACCCATCCTACCCCACAGCTTCTGTGATAGTCACCATGAAGCCATTCAATGTTTTTATTAAAAATTAGTCTGAAAAAATCTCCAGTGACAAAATGTAGCACTGAAACAAATGCAAAACAAAACACACTGTGTGGCAGGAGCTCTCCAGGAGGCTGGAGGACGAACAGCTCCTAAGATGGGAGATCCGGGGAATACTCAGGAGCCACAAGTGACACCCACATAAAGTCACAGTCCAGCAGATCAAAGCAGGGCTGGGGCTGGAGAGCAGGAGGACAGGACGTGCTCAGATGCAAGCATAAATCACCACTCTGACAGTGTGTGGGTGTGGAAGCACCTGTCCCCGAGGCACCAGGAGTCTTTGGCATCTGCAGGCAGCATGATGTGGCAGACAGCTGGATGGACCTCTGCACCCTGCTGCAGAGGGATGGGGAGGCACTCAGATGACCAGTGCTGGGCAGACATAGGTGAGCATGCCCTGGGGCTTCATGGACACCCAGCCCAGGACGGATGCTCCAGGAGGACTTGGCCCTTCTCCCAGTATGACCCTAAATCACTGGACTGCCCTTCCCCACTGTCCTGCCTGGCGACTCCAGCGACAGGAGAGTGGATCCCTAGAAGTGACCCATCATGCTAGCTACCTTGGGACTTCTGTGGGCTGGAGCCTGCCTCTTCCAGGGAGGAGAGAAGAGCCTGAGGCCTGGCAGGCCAGCTTTCTCAAAGGTTTTTGGGGGAAAGGCTGCTGCCAAAGCTGGAAAATCACTGTAAAGAAGACACACAGGGCTCCAGCCACTCCATACCCCACCCCACTCCGCAGGCAATGGGCCGTGCTGCAGACAGAGCTGGGGGGAGGGGCCCCCTGACCTGTGTGCCGCCTTCCTCTGGCAGCACCATCAAACCCTGCTGTCAGCTCAGCCTCACGGCAGACTCTGACACTTATCTCAGTTCCTGTGGGACTTTGAGTTTGTGGGATCTGCTCGGTGCCCACATGCAGGGACCCAACTTCAACAGAACAATTAAACCACTAGCCCATCTCCCAAACACCCCTGACCCCGGTTTTCCGCGTGACTCCCATCTTGTGGCTCAGCAGAGCTGCTGCCCACCCCTCTTCTCCTGCCTCCTTCCCCGGTGGGGCAGGGGCTCAGGTGCCCGCTGACAGCCTGAGCTGTGAGGATGCAAAGTACCCAGGCTGGCCATGTCTGCTGACAGAACAGGGCCGGCTCACTTTAACTTTCCAGAGCCTCAGCAAAGCCCTAGCTAGGGGTGATGTGATGTTTTGCATAAGTGAACCCTAAGTGAGGAAGTAGCTAAGGGTAGGAGACGAGAAGGGAATTTCCAGGTCTTGCATCTTTAGCCCCAAGTCAGGCTTGGTGAGGCCTGTGCTTGTTGAAGGTCAGGGGGCTCTCTCGGGAGCCCCTCTGGATGGCTAGGAAGAGGGGGTGCTGAGACTCGCTGTGTCTCCCAGTGACAACCTCACCAAGCTTTGATGTGGGAAGGACAGCCCCAGGTACTACACCTTGATGGAACTCCCCTGTATTGAGAAGCGTGAGAAACATGTTTTTCTTTATAAATTACGTCAGGCATTCAGTGATAGTAACAGAGGCTAGAGGACCAGGGCCCGCAGCGAAGACGCCCAGGAAAGTGAGGATCCTGGCTCCACGGGATGCTGCAGGCCCTGGGTTACGGCCCCAGTATGGCACACTTGGGCAGTCCTCCTGGTAGTCCACAGGAAGGGGATTCAGAGGGAGCCAAGGTGGGCCCCTGCAGGCGGTGCCCAATCCACCTGGTGGTTTCCTGTCCTGGGCGCAGTGTGTGTGTGGGCTCCGGGACACCGTTATTACCGTTTCATTAACTGTGGCTGCTAGCTTAGAAGCTGTGCTGGTCAAACCTGATCCTTCTTCCTTTCCAAGCTGCGGCCCTTTCCCCTCCCGGCAGCCTCTCAGTGGTGGAGCTCCAATTGGCACCCCATTCTGGTCCCGCCTGGACTCGGATGCTGAAAGGTGGAGCCTGGAGAGCTGGGAACCTCTCAGCCCTGGGCCCAGAGCGTGCATCAGCAGGAAGGAACTGGAGACTGTTCCTAAAAGCAATTTGTCAGGAACACCGCACAGTCAAGGCCAGGGAACCCGGAGTCTCAGTCCTGCTGCTCATGTGCCAGGCTGGGCCGGGCTTGCTCTGGAAGGCCGAAGCAGGCAGCTTCCGCTGAGTCGCCAGCGCCTCCAAAGGTCCAAGCGGGGCTGGTGCCCTCCCCGGGCAGAGGGAGTAGGAAACCCTGAAAATCTGCTTGTCTGAGTGCGTTGTCCTGTGCTGCAAATCTGACCCAGGGCACCCTCAGACCAGACCAGAACTGCTAGTTCACCACATCATAGTAGTAGTTGCGCAGGCGCAGTTCCACCGCTGCGAAGCCCGGCCGCTTCTCCACCCTGCAAGGGGAGGAGCAGTCAGTCCTTGCCATTGTGCTTGCCCAGAGCGACCTCCAGGACATTGGCTAATGCAGGCCCTGTTGGTCCCTCCGTACCCCACGCCGGTGTGCCCCAGGACCCCCACCCCCAGTCCATAGCACCCCCGGGACACTTACGGCCACCTTGGAGGTGCTGACGCTTGCAACAGAGCTCAGTCATTTACCCCCGTGTTCACGGGCGACCTCCAGGTGGCACCAGCAAGCTACAGTGTCTGGGGGTGCCTGTGGGCCGCACGCAGCTGACACTAGGCTGGGACTCTGCGAGCTTTGCTAGGCCTAACTCTGCTCCCCTCCTTACTGGCCAGCCGAGAGCTCTAGATTTCTCAAACTCTGGCACAGCTGAGGCAAAGAGCCAGACTGAATCGCAGTGGAGCAAGGTTTCCTGCCGGTGTGGGTGAGGCTGACGCAAGTAGGTTACAGGTTACAGGTTTTCATAGGCTGGGGTCTCTGAACATGCAGGTGCAGACACTTTTGTTTTCTCCAATGTAAGCATCCGGTACAGGGCGGTACTAACTCTCGGTATGTGTGAGGAACTGGCCTGGGACCTGCGCGGAGAGGAAGCCCACGTGTGCTTAGGTCCCTCCGATAAAGTGGAATGGTGTTTGTGTGCATCGCTAGGTTACCTGGCACGTTGTCCAGTGAGTGCTGTGGAAAGAGCTCCCAATCTGTATGATAGAGTGAACGCACACGTTCGGCCCAGTCGTGCTTCTTTCTAAGTATTTTTAACCCACAGCTGGTTGAATTGTCAAGGTTGAAGCTGCAGGGACTGAGCATTTCTGCTTAGAAATTGTTATTTCACAAGACTGGGCCAGCAAGCAGGCGAAGTCGCCAAGGAGTGAAACAGAACTTAAGGCTGAGCTTTCCACAGACAACCGCTTTGATTTATAGCAATTCCATTTTGGTCCTGGTATGTGAGATGGGCCACAGTATGAGCCCAAGGACCATGTGGCCCTCCATGTTATTACAGCAGAGACCCACAATGGGCAGGGTTGCCAAATGGCATCAGAGTGTTTGGTTTCTTCTCCATCTTTCCAAAGGACATAGCAGCCGATGCTGCCCAGCACGTCAGAGGTGAGGGACGCTCCGCATGCCTGAGACCTCACTGCACGGAGCCCCCACAAGATCGCATCACCTGGTGACACTGTCCCTCGGTCTATAAGAATGCTACACGACCGCACCACAGAGATGAGTCACCTACCAAAGCCTTTTCAGGTCACATCCTGTCCTTAGGTGATATGCCTGTCTCTTACAGCATCTCTGTACAGCCTGACCCTTACAGCAGTCCATCTCTGTCCCTGTTGACTGAGGAGAGGGCACCCTCAGACCCACAGGAAGATGGGATTTATGCTTCTTTGCCATGCCCAGACCTGCTATCTTCCTTCAGAGCCTCCCTAAGATTGCAGGAAGTTCCAGGTACTCACTCGTAGGTCCAGCAGAGGTTCATCAGTTCGTACATCTCCCTTGGACACCCTTGAGGGCAGCCCATGCGTTCGCCTCTCTCCAGCATGGCGGTGACTTCACTTCCTTTCATCCCCTAAGACATGAAGATGCCCCAGGCCTTTAGAACAGCACAGAGTAGCAAGCTCACCCCGAGACCCCAAGGCAAAAGAAGCAGCAGTGTCATTACAGTTGCACGGGTTACCAAGGTGGGAGGCAGTCGTCCGCCGTGCTGGGGTTCCAGGGCCTTCAGTTGGGGAAGGGAAGAGGCAAGCAGAGAGCCTCATCCTGTCTTCCCTCCCAGAGGCCAGCTTCCCAGCACTTACTCAGCAGTACTCATGATCTATGCACTTTCTGTGTCTTTTTTAATTAAAAAATCTTACAATTATAACTGGGCTGTAAATTGGAAGCTGCCAGTGGTCATCGTTTTGGCCTTCACTTTAATGAAGGATGACCTGGGTGGGTATATATTTTATGTGTATCTGTATATGTGACACATATTGAAAAAACATTGTCTAGTTAGTAACTGTTTTTCAGTCTAGTAGAAACTGAGGTGGGCCTAACTGCGCCATGTTAAAAGACTCCAAGGAGATGCTGGGGTTTCATGACTTTCAGGTTCTTGTGCCGATAACCTGGTGCTTGTCCTAAAGGCCACAGAGTTAGGAAAGTATGCATGCCTTTAGGAATGGCTTACTCAGCTAGCGTGGTGGCCCCTGCATGTAATTCCATTGCTCTGGGAGGCAGGGCAGGAGGATCACAAGCCCAGCATGGGCAACTCAGTGATTTAGCAGAACTCCACATTAAAATTTTGCCAAAGAGCTATAGATGGAGCTCAGCATGAGGGTCCTGGCTATAATCCCCAGCACTGCAAGAAGAAGTGGCAGGAGGAGGAGGAGGAGAAGTGGGAGAGTGGTGGGGGGAGAGGGGGGAGGGTGGCCTCACTCGGTAGGGCTTCTGGCCATAGGAGAAGGCTTCCCACATGAGCACTCCGAAGCTCCACACGTCGCTCTTGCTGGAGAAGCGGTAGTAGTTGATGCACTCCGGGGCATACCACTTCACCGGCCACTTCCCGTGGGTCTGGGCCTGCGAGGAGCAGAGGCAATGGGATGAGTAACGGGGTCTGCGCACCCAGGCTCACCAGCAGTTCCCTCCGACCAGCTGTGACGCGAGGCCCCGAGTGGCTGCCTGCGGGTGAGTGGACAACAAAGGGTCATCCATGTGGACGGCCACAGGAGCAGGGACCAGTGGTGTAGGCTGCAGAAGGGCGTGGATTTGTGGGCCTTGTGCTGTGTGAGATCAGCTGGCCACCTGGGGCCAGCACTGTGGGCGAGTGGCCTGGAACAGTAGGGAGCAGGGCTGCCCATGACCCTCGAGTGGACACCAGGTGCCGAGGAGCTGCGCACAGCTTCCTGGGATGCAGAGTGTCCTGCAGATGGGTTGGGAGCCCACGTGAGTGTACGCCGTGCTACTCGCATGACAGTGACTTCATAAAAAGAATAAGATCATGACCCAGAAAATGCTGTGTGGACATGCATGCATGCGCGTGTGCCTGTATTTGGAATGAATTTTTAAAATACTACTTTATTTTCAAGTCTTAGCCACTAATTTTAGTATCTAGATGTGCTTCCTTGAGATGCAGGACAAACTACCTGCGCTCTTGGGCTGCTTCCTCTGCTGCTGCCCTGCCTGCCCAGGGCTTGGAGAAGCAGCCTGTGGGCGCAGGGCCGAGCAGGGTGTGCTGCCCTGAGTATGTGCCAGGAGCACATTTAAATGCCACTCGGTATTTGTCTAGTGTTTTGAGTCAATGCTAATTATTTTAGCAAAGACTTTTCTTATGTCATTTAAAAATTTATACTAGATGTCCTTAAATTTTCTAAATTCCTAATTTAAGAAATCTGGGGGTAATAAAAACATCAAAACTGAACACAGCAAACCCCTTCCTTTGGAGTCTGGGTTCAGGGTGCTCCCTGCTCAGCCTTAATACGATGGTTGTTGATGTCCCCGTTCAGCCTGGGCTCAGTCCACTAGGCCTGATTTCAGTGAAAAGCCATCCAGGGACATTGCTCTGGGGAGGGAAGTGCCTTACACAACTTAGAACAACACAGCTGACGGCTTCTATCTCAGCCGCCTAATGCATTATCTTTACATTGTTATTTCAAAACTTGGGAACGATATAGTCCTGTGTGCTGATTCAAGTTCATTTTGAATTCTGAACTGATAAGGAAGTGAACTTTTTTTTTTTGTCTTTTTCGTTTTTATCGGTACCAAGGATTGAACTCACGACCGCACACTTGCAAGGCAGGCACTTATGCCGCTGAGCTAAATCCCCAGCCCCCAGGAAGTGAACTTTTAACGCCCCCTCAGTATGCTGAAAAGTTATTCTCCCGCCATTGGCGACTCCAGCCCTTCCTCCAGACAAAGCTTAATAGGAGTGTGCGCGCGTGTGTGTTACTAGTAAAACTGCTTCTGATCCTACCAGAGTAAGGTAAAACGAACACGGATGTTTTTCATGTTCATACAGCCTGCTGCTGAGCCCCGGTGGCCTGTCCCTACCTTGTAGTAGTTTTCATCGGCACCAAGTGCTTTGGAGAGCCCGAAATCGCTGATCTTGGCATAGTGCTGCGTGACCAGCAGCACGTTCCTGGCAGCCAGGTCTCGGTGCACGAAGTTGCACTCCTCCAGGTATTTCATTCCCATGGAGACCTGGTGGACCAGCTCTATGATGTTCTTATCCTTGACATGCCTGAAAGGGATGGCATCAGTCACTGTAGACAGTGGCCTGTGTCATCATGATCAGCCGTGCGCCTCACACCCCAGAGCCAGCCCATTCCCTGTTCTTCAAGAACTAGAGCGGGGAGTGGTGACAGACAACCTGTTGTCAGCTGGTCCTGGTCCGGACCAAACACCACCCCCCCTGCTGTTCAGTGGGGTTTGCTTTCATATATGCTTTGAATTGCATGAAAAACAGCTTAAAGGAGTTGCCGACCCTGACTCCTTGTCCTCATATAGAACTGGTGATGTAGCCAGGGCTGTCCTTTCTCACTTGTGAAGGAGGGACAGCAACGCCTCCCCTGTCTGGAGACCACTCACAGGGTGAGCTGGGCAGCGACCACTGTGCAGTCTTATTTCAAGTGACTTTCTCTGTCTTGGCACTGTGTATCACCACCTGCTTCTTTTTCATAAGAATCTTTCTGGCTTATGCCTTACACTCTGAGTAACTACTCTGAAGATACTGATAACAGTATAAAACTATTACTATTCTCTTATTGTTTGATAATGGAATTTTGTTTTATTTTTTCATAAAATCAAATTTAAAAAGAAATAACAATAGCTTTAGTGGGCACCATGGGATCATTCTGCTCACAGATGTCATCCGTTAACAGCGCCTGATATTTTCAGAAGTGGTTGCTCATGGGAACTCTGAGGTCAATCAGACAATGGAACACATAACCTCGATCCCCGGAAAGTGTTGGCTGTCTGTGTTTCTTCAAAGAGTGCAAGATCTGCCCTGCTTGGCAGGCCACAGCCTCCTGCAGGTAGCCTGAGGCTGGGCCCCTCCCTGGACCACCAGAGTGAGCCCAAGAGAAGGGACATAAAATTCTGGGGTCAGGGAAGTTTTCTACACCGCTACGCTCCTCTCCTTCCACTCCTGGTCCCCGTGTGTGGAGGAAGCATCAGGAGTGAAAGGCAACTCGGAGATCAGGCTGCTGTGGGCTGGCTGTGCGTGGCCCCGAACCTCCACACACCTGTTCTGCTGTAAGTACTTGTTGAGCGAGCCGAGCTCGGCCATCTCCATCACCAACATCCAGGACTCGGCCTCGCAGATGCCGATCATGCGCACAATGTAGGGGTTGTCCAGCTGCTGCATGACGTTGGCCTCAGCCAGTAGCTCAGCCTTCAGAGCAGGGTCGTTGGCCTCATTCTTCAGGATTTTCACAGCCACTGTTTTCACGCCTCTGCGGAAGAAAAAGGCCAAGCTCTAGGAAAATATTTGCTAAACATAATTGCCATGCAAAGATGTTGCTACAGAAATACCTGCTGCAGAACAGACACAGAGATGAGGACGCCATGGAATAAATGACTGGACTCCAGTCACCCTCTCTTAGCCTACCAAAAAAAATATTCTCAGCACTTACCAATAATGGTGCTAAAGGACCGGTGCTAAAGAAAGCCCCACCCCAAACTAAACCTATACGCTGCCGAAGTCCACAGCTGCCAGTGACGTTCTGCAATTTCCCATCCATATAAGCATATGAGTGTAACATCCCTTTAGTAGGAATTAAAAATGAATTTCTGGCTATGGAATTAGTGTACAATGTTAAAGCTCATAATTTGTCTTTTTAAAGCACCCTTTCCCCTTACTGAGCTTTGTTAACTTTTAAACAAGCCTCAGCAAGTTTGCAACAAATTAGATTTTTTTATCTTTTCATAAAAATATTACCTTGAAAATATTCTGAGAAAGTGAGCTTTAAGTGAAAGAACAGAACTGAACTACGCGTGGTTTGAAAACCTGCACCTCTCTACCATACAGCATACCTATGTGGTTAAACTCTCCAACTGGAGGGTGAAAAGTCAAATCAAGGACGACAGAATAAGGCTGACACACATGCAGAGAGCACACACAATTTCAGAGGATGTTACTGACTTAGCACTCCTGTGTTCTTTCATACAGCACTCAGAACATCCCCGCCTTGCATCCTGATGTCACCGCTGCACAGCTAGATGTTCTGCCCTTCACATTTGGGTCTACTATGCATCTGAAACTGATTTGGGTATGGTGTGAGTCAGGGGTCAAATTTAAGAAGCAAAAATGCTCGATTTTTCCAATTATTTTAGGAAGAAATAATACCACAAACTCTTTGAGAAAAATAGAAGAGGCTCCCTTATCAAAGATATAAGGTGTTTGAGTGTGTTGGTAGTTGTGGTTGTATTTTACAATCTATTCCATTGATTTTCAGATCTGCTTTTATTTCAGTTCCATGCTGATTTTATTACAGTTGCTTTGTAGTATAACTTCAAGTCAGGTATTGTGATGCCTCCTGCCTTGCCTTTGCTGCTTAGAATTGCCTTTGCTATTCTAGGTCTCTTCTAGTTCCAGATGAATTTTAGGAGTGATTTCTCTAGATCTGTGAGGTATGCTAGTCACTGGAAGAACGACAGTCTCTTTAATAAATGGTGCTGGAAAAACTGGCTCTCCACATACCGAAAACTAAAATTAGACCCATGCCTATCACCATGTACCAAACTAAAATCTAAATGGATCAAAGATCTAAATATTATATAGAAACACTAAATCTGTTGGAAGACAAAGTAGATAGAAATCTTGAAGACATTGGGATAGGTAGAGAATTCATGAACAAAAATCAAACTGCATGGGAAATATTTCCCAGAATCACCAACTGGGATCTCGTCTTACTAAAGAGTTTCTGAATGTTAAAAGAAATCTCCAGCATAGGGAAAAGAAAACTCACAAATTGGGAAAAAGTGTTAGTCAACTGTTCCTTAGACGAAGGACTTCTGTCTAGAACATATAAAAGATTTTTAAAAAATCAGATCCCCGAAATTGAAAGACCCAATCCAAAAAAGGGCATCTGAGATGAATACACACTTCTCAGATGAAAAAATACAAAAGGCAAATAAATACATGAAAAAATGTTCAGAATCATTGGTCATTAGAGAAATTAAATTAGAACCACACTGAGATTCCATCTCAATCCAGAAAGAATGACCAGGATCAAGAAAACTACCAACAACAAATGCTGGAGAGGCTATGGGGAAAAAGGAACTCTCCTCCCCATGTTGGTAGGAGTGTAGACTGGTGAAACCACTGTGGAGGTCAGTCTGGAGATTCCTTAAAAAGCTGAAAATGTGGTATTTTTATGCAATGCAGTACTACTCAGCTGTAAACAATGATCACACTGAGATATTTATTAAAAATGGACATAACTTGAGACCATACTCGTAAGTGAAATAAATCAAACTTACATGTATAAATATTGTATTGTCTCCACAGTGTAAGAAATGGTTAAGAGTACATAAGATACAAAACCCTCAATAAACACACTGGAAGTATAAGAATCTGCTCAAAAGGAAAAAAATTATATCTCAGGGAAAAGGAGAAAAAAGAAAAAGGAAGGGAAAAGAAAAAGATATCTAACGTTAGATAAACACACTTAGGATAGCTAAGATGATTGTGCTACAAATTCCGTAAGTTCTTAGAACAAAACAGTTAACATTCATAGGATTAGAAAAAGTTTGCATGTTAGTGTCTGGTGATCTGAGGAACTCTTAAAGATCATTATGTAAAATAACAACCCTAGCTATACTCCTACCACCTTGCTGTGAAGGCCTGTATCGTCACTGTTTTGGGCTCTTTGCTATTGTTATCTATTTGTCTTTTTTGAGTAATTTTCTTTGTTTTGGTTTGTTTTTCTTTCTAATACAGAAAGGATAGGTGTACATGTAGAGGCTTAAACATGTGTAGAACTTCCCCTAAACAGTTTATGAGATTCGATTATATTATGCATAATGAAATGAACAGCTACTTTGAAGAAAAAGAGATATTATGGTATCCATTACTGATTCTCTTTCATCATGCTGTGAAATCCAGTAATGCTACTATTGTTTGTTCAGAGTGGTTTTAGTCTGTTTTGCATTGTTTAATTTTAACATACATGAAGGTATGGACAACTAATCTGAATGAGAACAAGAGACATTATGGCAGCCATTGTTGACTTCCCTATTGTCTGGATTTGAAGGTCTATAATGCCTTCATCACTCTGTTCTGATCAGTTTAATACTATTTTATTTTGTATGAATTCATTGTGTGCGAAGATATGCACAACTATTTGGAAGAAAACAAGAGACCTTATGGTAGCCATGGTATATCTCCTGTTGCCTGCTTTGAAATCTGTGTCACTTACATTGTTTTCTTCTGATCTTCTTTGTTCTGTTTTGTTATGTTTAGTTTTATCCACTTTAAAATTTAAAGAAAAGGAAAATAGAAGAGGAAGAAAATTTCCCAACTCATTTTACAAAGTCAGCATTATTCTGAATGCCAAAACCAGATGAAGAAATTGCAAAAGAACAATTGACTGAGACCCTTCGTGAACACGGGTGTAACATTTTAAGAAAAATGCTTAGTAAGTTAAAATTAATGATTTATGAAAAAGGGAAAAAAGGCTAAAATGAATGAATGATGGCAAGGGAGTTTATTCAGGAATAAGCAATGTGTATAGGATGTGGGAGCCAATCAGTGTAACTTGCCTGAGAAAAGCCACAAGGCCATCTCAGCAGAGCACGGTGTTCCGTACAATTCAGCACACAGTCATGATGTTAAAAATCACTCGGAAAGGTATAGGCTAAATCAGGACTCTTCTTTACCCTGAAAGAGAACAGCTGCAAGCCTACAGCTAACGCCACAGCCACTGGTGAAACCCTGGCAGGTTCCCCTGGTCTCAGACAAAGGCTGCTGACAATGACATCAGACTGGCTCTGCAGTGCTAGCCGTGTGACAGTAAAGGAGGAAAGGCGCATGCGCGGCCAGGGGTTGCACAGGATGAAGTAAGACTGTCACTCAGAGGACACCTAACACATCATGAACACCAGATCAACACGCCGTGGTGTACAGATCCATGGGAGAGTCAGGCACAGTTCCACGTGCAAGGATGTCAGCGACTAAGGAATAAAATCTTTTTAAAATGACACCCTGTATGTCAGAAGTGCTAAATACCAAAGAACGTATTTAGCAGAAGTTGTTTGAGACCTACACACAGGAAACTAAGCAGTCAGCAGAGGGAAACTGGGAGACCATAAGGAAGACCTGCGCATGTGGACGGTGGGCTGCTTATGGACCGAACCACCACATCCGGCAGAGACGGTATTTTGGCCTAGACTGACTCAGTAGCCTCTCCTCCCCGCAAACTCTGTAGCTCGAATTGTGTCTCCATAACTATGTCTATTTTAACTCACGTATTTTAGCAAGGAATCTGAATATGATCAACGAACTGAGAAGATAATTCCTACACATATAAAAATTAATGGTTTTAAAATGTGATATTTGTACATATATTAAAAATTAGCATAACCAGTGGAGTGTGTGTATACATGTGCATATACACACATACACATACCCATACCCATACCCATATGGGAGGGCAAGGCTTGGAAGCAAAGTTTTGGTGTATGCATTGGCTTCTATATTTTTCTTTCTCTTTCTCGTGATTCTGGGGGTTGGACACAGGGTTTTGTGTATGCCAGGCAAATGCTGAGCTACTAAGCTGCACCCATGGCCCCCGTGGATACCTTTGATCCCAGAATCATGTAAGTTACCTACTCAAGTCAACTTTTTAACAAAAGTTCCCTGCATTTCCAATAGCATGAACCAGCCAACCGGGTCATATTCGTATCAGAGGCAGCCCTATTCAAAGGGAGGGTTGTCTCAAAGGGACTTGGAAACCAGCCTTTTCCTGAACATTCTCCAGGGACGCTTCTTAAAAAGCAGGTGAAATATGAAGGCAGTGTAGTAATTTTAACTGCTGTATAATACACATTGTTACTTAAATCATGTCATAAAGCAAAAAATATTTTAATTGTTCAAAACCAAGAACTTTCTAGGTAAGAAAGATGAAGCACAGTAGTCTCAGAAAATGAATAGAACATTGCACAGTTACTGAGTGGGTGCCGTTCAGTGAAGTGATGAGTGTGAACATGTCGGTGCCTTCTGAGGAAACAAGAGATGCACTAAGGTTGGGTAAGAGTGGCTGTGCTTGGGAAGTGTGAATATGCTGTTCTTTTCACATATCTGTTTCTATTTCCTAATTTTCTGTAAGGCAGGAAAACTAAAATACGTGTCTGTTCCTTGTATACACAGATGCTTTCATTATAAGTGTACCAGGAATGAACAAAAATTGTGTTAATAAAACATGATTTTGTCATGTTAGATTAAATGTGTTTGAGATTAAATGAACATTATAGATGTATTCTTAGAAATTTCTAGAACCTTGCTCACAGGAAAATGACAGTGGCATGAGGGAGTCCCCATGTACTTCTTAGAAGTTTCTAGAACATTGCTCACATGATGACAGTGACATGAGGGAGCCCCCATGTACTTCTTAGAAGTTTCTAGAGCACAGCACATGTGAGGATCAGAGTGGCATGAGAGTACCCCACTTACTTCTTCATTTGGTAGTAGCCCTTCTTCACGGTCCCGAAGTTCCCAGAGCCCAGCTCATTCTCCTCCAGGGTCAGCAGGTTCCGGTCCAGGTAGACCTCTTTGGGCCTGATCTCTTCTGGGTCTGCATAAGGGCTCTCATACACTTCGGTGTCCATGGGCAGGGGCTCTCTCTGGGGGCCTGAAATGCAGCCAGGAGACAACCTTGGGGCCGGGTCCTTTGTGAAGACTCAGTGGTCTTCCCCCACGGCCCCGCTGTGGTCACAGACCGCTGGTTACATTGATCAGGCAAGGTCCAGCTGGGAACTGGATTCAGGGTTGAGGGTCATCAAGGAAAGGCCATCTAGAGGAGGAAGCAGGACATGGGGCCCTTCCATGGACTGAGGTGGCTTTAGCTAGGTCTGAAAACTCTCTGACACCCATCCTATTGAGCAGTGGGGTCTCTGTCACCTTCCCTGAGTGGGTTTTAGAACTGTGTCAACCAACAGAGTATATCCAAAGCCACACATGTGCGTGACTTCCCGGGCAAAGCTATGAACGGGGATGCTGTCTGCCTCCTTGGAGACTCTGCTCCTGGCATCTTGGGGAATCCTGGGTGCTGTTTACAGCCCCGAGGCTGCCACACTGGGAGAACCCCAACAAGCCCACCCAAAGAGAACAACCAGGGATCCTGGGACCAACTGGAGGCACAGAGAGACCCTGGCTCATCACCACCTCTGCGTTGTGGGCTCCAATTGTAATCTGACAACTGACCTCGAGCTGGGTCCAAATCCTGAGACACAGGGATCAATTAAATGACAAATACCTGATTACCACTGCTGTGTGCCACTGTTTGAGGGGGCTTTGCAGTGGTAAACAGATTCCAAATTCCCTAATAAAAATGTACTGGGGACACCTCGGGAACCAAGGCCAACCCACAAAGGCCCATTTCTGGACCCAAGTCAGCACAGGTGCACCTCACAGAGTCTGCTCGGCTCCCTACATACACTGAGCACTCAGCCACTCCTTCCGTCAGCTGCTGTGCCTCCCTAGGGAGCGTGGACACCAACAGCTCTCTGGAAACATGACCTTTCCAGAAATTCACCTGAGTGGAGCCAGGACATTGCTAGAGGTGCAGAATTTTGAAGAAGCAAAATGGACATCGCCAGCCTTGCCGATATTTTAGAAAGTCCTTTCCTGTGAAAGATCATTTCATTCCACAGAACTGCCCTGTTTGTGGACACGAGGTGTCTGCTGCCTGTGCTGGCCAGTGGCGTCCCTACCCAGTCGTCACAGACAGTGGGGTGCCCCTGCGTACCAACTGGACACACTCAGAGGCCACCACGAGCACCGCGCTGCCCTCACCTCTCTCCGGAGCCCAGGACCCACCGTGCTCTGGCTCATAAGGGTTGAAGGACACCATGCTTTCCGGCCGGCTCCCGGGGGACGGTTGGGCCTGCAGCACATGAGTGACAGTGTGTCATCCCCACTGGTGCCGCCCAGAGTGCACCCAAGCAATGACAATGTATTTTCAAACACCACAGATTAACGTAGGCAGGGATGACAAAGGGAAGAATTAGGAGGAAAGAGAAGAAGAAACAGTGGATTATCTCATTCTTGGAGCGGCTGTTTGGGTCCTGGGGGTGCCCACAGGGCCTCTAGGGTGCTGCCAGTGAACCCACGCTCCCTGTGCACATTCCACAGCTATGTAAGGCTTTCGTGTTTGGATTCATGCTCCTCCTGTAACTCTATCTCTCTGATCTTATTTTATGTGAAAGTTACTTAAAAACGGAAATTAAACTTCCATCAGCTGCTTCTGTCTCTGTCTGGACCCCAAAGCACGTGTGAGAATTCCACACACGCCCAGCGTTTCTGCCTGCGTCCTGATGTTCAGTGATCTGACAGCGTTTGGGAGTAGGACTGTCCTGACCAGTCCTGACCAAGCCTGGCTGTCCTGGCCTTGCCACGGCTTATGCTGCTATCGTTACTTTTCTTGGTGGCCAGGACACTCGAGGGCCTCTCCGGTGGGGAGTGCTTTGCTTCCCTAGGAGGTGGCCCTTCTGGCCACAGCAGGTGAGAGAAGCACATCTAAAGCACAGCTTCGCTGCTCAGGACTCGGTTATGTATTTAATTAACGTCATTCTGCTTTGTGAAATAACGGGGGGGGGGGGATCTGCCCCTTATACTCCAAGGACTCCCCTTCTGAGCATCCTGAATTGAGTTTTCCTGACCCACTCCGCCTCAATCAGGTGACTGCTACTGCATTTAGAAGAAAACCAAAGCACAATTCACACCCTCCTGTTTGTTCATTTGCTTGCCTGGCTTTGGTGTGGTAGGAGTTGGGGAACTGCTTTCTACATCCATTTATCTTATCAGAGCCCAAACCCTGGCTACAAAAATGAGATAACACCAGGTTTCAGAGATGTTTAAAGAAACAGAGACATGAAGCTTCACGTTACACGTTACACGGTCACTTACATAACAGAACACACTAAATCCTCAACTGCTAATGCCTTTTGACAGTCCAAGCTCACAAAACAAAGTAAACAACAAAAGTGCCACCTGGCTGGGAGTCTGCAGCCTCCTGACTGCTCTCAGAGAGGGTGGCCCTGCCTTGGGGATGAATGCCCTTCGGCAGGGCTAAAGGGTGCTGATCTTACAGGCAAAGGAATGCTTGCACACGGACTAGCTCAGAGACCTTCTGGTCCTGTGCAGTGGAAACCACCACCATGCACATCAAGAACGACAATGGAACATAAGTTCCAGGGTACACGACCTTAATTCACTATGGGTGCCTGATAAAAATGGGTTGGACAAATGGATGCATGGATGGATAGATGGATGGATGGATGGATGGATGGATGGATGGATGGATGGATGGAAACAAATCCCCTCTCCTAACTGGGAGATACAAAGTACAAACTAATGTGCTTCAAAAATGAGTTACCTCTGCAACCTTCACATTCACAGAGAGAAATAGGTACTGGTAATTTCAATGGTAATTTACTTCTTTTAAACCTTTGCGTATTTCAAGGCTATTGGATGTGCTCTGATTTCAGCTCTAATTTCTAACATACTGGCCCCGTCTCAGGAGACCTCTCCTAGCAGAATCAAGCTGATTCCCAGGTTCTCCCGCCTCCCAGGCCCTGTTCCCGCCTGCAGGCGCACTCTTACTGACAGTAGCTTTTTAAAGGAGTCCTTTTGGGTTAACATTTACTCTCACTGCAACTCCTGCCTTCTCTGTAGGCAGAAAGACTCTGAGATTTCAGGACAAAACCTGACAGGCAAGGAGTTAAAGGATGCCCCTGGACCAGCTACCAGAGACAGGGAGAGGGGAGCCCTGCCCGCTGACCCCTCAGGGCAGCATGGGGGGCCACAGCCTTCCAGAGTGTTCTCCAGGGCATGAGAATTTCAAAAGGCATGTTACAACTAAATGAGAATGCAATTACCTAACCTAGAAATCTCGTTGAGAAATTTTTAAAAATGAATGAAGTTATTTTTTTAATGCTAAAGAGACTACCAATGCATCCAGAGTAAGCAGTAACGAGGGACCCCGGGAACCTAAACTCCTGGACAGAATTCATACTCTCTGTGGAAGCATGTTCACTCCCTGGAAGACTGGCGGTCTTTGGGGGTTTGGGCTGCACAGCTTCAGTGAGGTGGTGCAGGGCTTTCTGGCCTAAGCCAACAAGAACACTTTGTCAGGAGGGGCAGCCTTCAGGGCACAGCCACAGAGAGCCCCGCATCCCTGGATCAGCACAGCCAGATGCCCCGGCCCCAGCCCCTCTCCTTTCTGGAGCCAGACGGGGTTACAGCCCGAGATGGCACTGCCGAGCAGGACGTGTGCTCTGCAGCAAGGGGCAGCAGCGCCCTCCGAGAAGACTCGGTGTGCAGGCCTCATCCGCCCTGGATGAACAGCTGCTCAGTAGCACCTCGGCCACCAGCGCCTCTGGAAGCCAGTGCTCAGGTGCAAAACAGAAATCGTAGACTGCAAAAATGAGCACCAGGGGCTCACAATGACCTATAGAAGTCTGGGGTGTTAAATTTAAGGAAATGTTGATTGTAATGAAAAGTATGTTACTGGTACAGTACACATTGCTAGTAGTTGTCGTTATTCTTTCTGTCTTTATTGGATGATCTGATTCTGCCTCCGTGGACAGTACTGTCTTTTTCACACTGAGAACAAGGGGTAAAGGAAAATGCCAGCTGCCCCCCCAACAACTGTTGGCCACCACTAGATGGCGCCAGCTCCCAGCTTTCTAATTTCCAGAGCGCAAAATTGAATTTAATGCAGGCCTGTCCGCAATAGGAACTTGAAAATTGTGTTTGATTATAAATTATGGTACCTCACCCTTCATTATTTAGTCTACACTGAACATATAGAATGCATCTGACCAGTATTTTTAAGTGCCTACTTTTTTTGAGAACTGGGAATTTGGAAGTGCACAGAGAGAGCAGTTCCTGCGTCTAGGAGCAGATAGGCTAATTCAGACTTGCTTGGCTCCAGAGTACGGCCGAGGCACACTTTTGATCCTTTTTCGGGAGCTTTATTTTTGCTCCCAGTTCTCTGAAAGACTATTCCAAATCAGGCAGCAGAGGCTCTGCAGGTGACAGCACACTGAACACTCATCTGATTGCAGGGTGTGTAAGTTGGCTTCAGGAATTCAGGCTGCACAGCAGAATGGGAAGGGTCTGAGGAGGGTGACCCAGGTCAAAGGGCAGGAGGCCCTGCAGGTGGACCCTCCTGGGGGTGTGTGGAGGTGCTGAGCCTGCCTGGCCCAGGAAAGTAACCAGGGGCCTACACAACTGGTCCTCTCTCACCTTCCAGGAAAGATCAAAACCTGGTCCTTTATATGACATGCTTCTCAGTAGTGCTGTGCTCTGTTTAGGCATTACTGAGCAGAGAGAGGGGACTTGAGGATTCTTTTCTCTCTCTCCTCACCGAGCCCTAGTAAACTGAGTACTTAGATGTAAGGTTTTCAATGTCCCAATTATCAATGTACGTGTTGAATAAAATATAGAAGATGGGTTTGGATGAGAAATCCTGGACACATTTCAATCTGAGCACCTTAGGGGATTTCTAAAGAAAAGGTTAAATGCATCTGCTTTTCAGTTTCTATTATAAAAAATTAAAACTAATAATTTTAAAAGCAAAGTATAATTTCCCTTAACTGTTTAGATGCTGGAGTTAATTCATGGTTTTTACATGTATTTTTGTACCTGAATTATTAAAAACAAGGAAAGCATCTTCACAATACTAATTAATTTGTAATCTTCCATTGTTTTTAAGAAATGAAATATTTTAGTAGGTTCAAAAGGAGCTACAGGGTTTATATGGAAAAATGGGTCTCTTTATACCCTTGTTTGCAGAGGCAAATATTACTAGTATTTTCTATATTTTTCCAGGATACTCCATACCATATCGATGCCACCTATGTATCTACCCATGACTTTGTCATTTACAGTTTTAACAATATAATCTGGAAACAAGTCGAGGTCTCAGTTCTCCCACACTGGCAATTTTACTGTAACTGATTTCACTTATTTCCCAGTGGCAGGCATTGACATTATTACCCGACTATCAATTGTAAAGTGTCGGAAAAAACACTTTCATAGACACGATTGCAGAAATTGCAAGGTGTTTTCCAATTAATATCCAGAAATGGACTCACACAGCTGAGTTTTATGTACTCTTAATTTTGATAGATGTTGCAAGACTGCCCTCCTGAGAGACTGTCGTTCACCGTGCTCCAGTGAAGAGCAGAAGCAACTGTGTACCAAGCTCTATTGATGAGGTGGGTGACTGTCTATGTCTGGCTCAGTCTCGCAGTGGAGGAAGCGGCGCACCATAGCTGTATTTGTCTTCTATGAAGTTCAACAGCTTTTTGTTTGTTTGAGAATTATTTGTATTTGGTTTGCTCTAAATTACCTACCAACATTTTTGCCCCTTAGATGACACTCTCTTCCTGATTTACAGTCTCCTTGTACGTTAAGATGGTGAACCACACATACACACGTATGCACTTACACGCGTGTGTGCCATCATTACTAATATTTACTCCGTTTCCTAATTTCCTCTTGATGACACATCCTTACCAACTGTATTTCCTGCTGTAGTTGTGCTGACTCCTCTACTTGCTTTTGTCCTCCTGCTGTCTAAACAGGCACCGGCTCTGATTTTCTAGGTGCTTCCTCAGTTACTGTGAGTGGCCTGAGGCTGCTTGAGCCCACTTAGAAAATGGCAGAAGGCAGCCCAGCTCCTCGGGCTGTTTCACTGGTTTCCGGTGGCCGTGTTTTCCTCTCGTGTGACTGCTCGGTTAACCTGAGCTATCGTTATTGAATCCCTCAGCATCTGGCACTGCCGTGAAGGAATTCCGCAGGGCCAGTGAGCAGGGCATGCTTTAGCACCTTTCTATGGCCAGGCTTTGGGAAGGAGTAGGATTTGAGGCTCTCTTTTATGTTAAAGTTCTATATCAGAATTGACCATGTTGAAGGAATTAAATGAGTGGTAGATGGTGAATTAACAGACATCATAACCCTAACCCATCACCTAACATTACTCAGTTCTAATAAGCTAGGATAATGGATTCTAATCCTATGCACCCCTGCATTAATGCAAGGCTGCAGGTCTCAGTGCCTGCACAGTTTTGGGCGGTCCACAGCTTCTCACAGGCCCCTGGGCTCTCCCCCTTCGCAGTGTAGCTTTCATAATCATTGCCACACTGCTGTCATGTGCGATTCTGTCAAATCAGAAGTAAGCTTGCAGCTGGGCGTGTGGTACACACCTGTAACACCAGCATTTGGGCGGCTGAACCAGTTCCAGCCCAGCCTGGGCTCCTTAATGACTTAGTGACAAAATTAAAAATAAAAAAGGCCGGGATGCAGCTGAGTGCAGAAGTTCCTGGTTCAATCCACAGTACAACAAATACACGAGTGAAAAGTAAATCAGCTGTCTGAAGAAACCGTCTGGCCTGACCTTAGCTGCCACGGACTTTGCTCACTGAACAACTTCAATGCTGCACCTGAGCAGACGTTGCTGGGCTGAGCAGCAGAGCGACTGAGGACCCGCAGGGAAGCACAGATGCACTGGGGCACAGATACACCCTGCCAGAGCGGCAGGTGCCAGCCAGGGCTGCACACAGCAAGGAGCGGCAGGCGGCAGAGTGCAGGGTACGGGCAGCGAGCGTGGCTGCGTGCAGCTCAGTCCTACCACTCATCAGGGACAGGGAGCAGGGGATGCGTTAGCACCTTTCTGTGGCCAGGCTTTGGGAAGGAGTAGGATTTGAGTCTGGAGATTATTCCACCCGGTGACCAGCTCTAGAAACCATAATAGCAAAGAGGAACAGTCAATTCAGCTTCAGGACACAAACTCCACACAGCTGTAGAGCTGACACGCTGTAGACCTCTGCTTCTGTAATCATGCTGTGGCCCCGCCACTGAAGTTTCCCATGTACAACTCTCTATCATCTGAAACCCTTCGTCCCACTGGAAGGATCTAGAAAAATATTCAGGAAGAATTTTCCACGGAAGGCTACAAAATCAGTGCTGACATCAGTAGCCCATGCTTCCCATGGAGAATTACTTTCTGAGCTTCAAACAGATCATTGGGAAAGAAACCACAGCAGGCATGCTGCTGAGTGGTGTCACTTCCACAGGGTGGGTACCAGGTCCCTGGGTCGATGGGGAGTCACAGAGCTGCACACTTTGGCAATCTGCATTGTTTTCCATATGCATCTTACCAGTTAATAAAAACGTATCCACAGTATGTCCCCTGAAAGCCATTGGGTGACACAGTTAAAGCCTCATCTCCTGGGAGTTCTCAGCTTAAGCCCTTATCCGCCTAAGGGAAATGGATCCCTCTCAAAGAGGATCTGTCCAAGAGGAGGCTCTGGTCCACCAGTGGTATAGTGAAAGCCACTGCGGACTCCGGAAGGGAATGGAATTTATGATCCTAAAGTTTCCAGTGGTTTGTTTTCTAGTGAGGTCAAGGTCTCTCTATCTGATAACAAGAATTGCCCCTGGGGGGCTGGAGGTTTAGCTCAGCGGCATAAGCGCCTGCCTTGCAAGCAGGCAGTCGTGAGTTCGATCCCCGGTACCGATAAAAAGGAAAAAGACAAAAAAAAAATTAAAAAAAAAAAAAAAAAAAAAAAAGAATTGCCCCTGGTGCTTTCAACATGAGCTCAAGGTCCATCCTGTGTGTTGGAGGCAGAATGTATGCCAGGTTTTCTGTGGATGCTGTTTCTCAGGGGTTAGCAGGTACAGTGGGCCCATTTCCCAGATGGTATTAAAGACATTGAAAGTCCACAGTGAAGTCTCCCAAAAGGATGAGAAACTAGCTCCTGCCTCGACTATGAATCCATGCATTCCCTCAATGGTCTGGAGGGGGAAGGGAGGCTTCCCTTTTACCACATGGAGAGATGAGTGGGTACATTCTCTCTTCCTCCTGATGTACAGGGGGACGTGGCTCTGGCCGATACTGCATCCCTCTTTGGGGCTTCCTCTCATCTAGGATCTCTCCAAGCATCCCTGCCCCTAAGTTTCAGTCAACCCACTTTACCCAGAAAGGTCAAGTCTCTCAGCAGTGATGTGTCAGCTGATAGGCCAAAGCTGGTCATACAACCTCAGGGAGACATCTTATCTACCCAGCCTGCACTGCCCCCAGCAGGGGCCCTGGGGCTGACACAGAGCTGTCAACACACACAGTCCCAGGCTGACTGTGAGGAGACTCTCATCTCCCAGATCTGGCAGGAGGCCTGCTCCTGATTCAGCACTGGGTTCCCTCCTCATTTGTAACATTTCTAGAAAATGAGGGGAAATTAATGTAGCCAAGAAATTAAGAATACTTGGCTAGCTCAGTGCTGACATCAGGCTGACTGTACCTATTCTCACTAGATGAAGGGGGACAGTCTCAAGTGCCATCAGAACAGTACTGCTATCCTGTTAGCTTAGCTTGCTTTGAATTTGTGCAAATTCATAACTGCTTCAGTGCCAGTGGGATTTGTGATGATACTCACCGCGAAACTGGAACTTTGTGGATGAGCTGCAAAAGTAACATTTCCCGATTAGAAAGGCTCTGAACAGTTGCTATCTTAGTGAGTACCACTTACTTGGCCCCCTGTCCACCGCAGAACAGTGAGTAAGACTGTATCACTGCTGCCTGAAAAGACCACAAACTTTCTGTACCCATTTCTTTCAATCTCTTTCAGTGGCTTTTTCACCCATGAATTAGTTTTACAGAAGTGATTGACTAGCTTTTGATTCGGGATACCTACACCTGGAATGCTCTGACAACAAGATCTCATCTGACTTGAGTTTGAAATGCACCAAATCTGAAATGAAACCAACCATGACCAATATAAAAAAAAATTCAGATGCCTTTGCCACTCACCAGCTTGTGCGCCAATTTTTTGACATGGAACTGTAAGAACTCTTAGCAAACCATCTGGCTTGTAAGAGTAATGCTCAACTAGCTGAAAGAGAAAAAAGTATGGTCAGTAATGGGGCAAGAAATGGGGAACCAGTGACAGAGAGATGCAGCTGCTTGTTGGATTTCAAAGTGACCCAAAGAAATTTAAATCTGATGCTTCCAGACAGCCCACTGCCCAGAGAGGCAGGGGAGACTGGAACACAACTGCAGATGGCCTTGGAAAGGGGCCGGCCAACAGTTTTACAAATGTCCAGAGGGAGAGTTTAGGCTTTCGGGAACCATATATCATCTCTGTCACCTCGTCATTCATTCATTCAAAACAACCTTTTGAAAGCACAGGAACCGCTCTTTTCAAGGACTGCAAATAGAACCCAAGCCAGATTTGACCTAAGGGTTTTTCAGACTCCTGAGCTAAAGTAAAGAATAAAAACAGAGTAGTATAATGATTACTAACTCCCAGAAAAATTGTACTGGAGCTCTGGAATTGGGTTAGGGCTTAGCGATATCTTACTGTGCTGTCCAGAAAAAGCCAATGTGATCATGCACATAAAAAGTGGACGGTCTTGTGAGAGAGTCTGTGGCAGCCCCAAGAGTCCGTGCCATGCTAAGAGGCAGAGGACGTGTACCTGCCAAAGTGTGTCGAACTTCTTCCCCTCGGGGATGGAGAGCTTCCCCGTCTTGTCTCTGTCGATGCGGTAGTGTAGCACCTTCCCTTCATGCAGCAGGCAAAGGGCGTAGGAGCCATTGTTGTCTCTGGCCCTAATCCTGGAAGAGAGGACACAGCGACATCACCCCGTGAGGACCAGTCCTGAGCAGGGGTCTAGCAGGAGGCCTTGCCTGGGTCGGCAGGTGCCCAGGGACCCCTCAGAGGGACAGGCAGCCTGCAGGCAGTGCTCACCGCACTGTCTCAGCTGGGGTAGAAACCAGTAAGCTCACAACAGGAAGTGCTCAGAGGCTTGGGATGGACCATGGCTAAGCCCAGCAGGCCTGAGGAGACCAGGCTCAGTGGGCAACAGGGTGGAGCGGACGGCCTCGTCATCTGGGTCTGAGACCTCCCTGTGTGGTCTCCCTGGGGGGTTGCCAGGGGTGTCTGGGTCACAGGCTAATCAGAGCCCTCTGGGGTGCAGACAGAGGGACATGTGAGCTTCGGCTCCCCAGATCCCTCTTCACTGCATTCCCTGTGCTCTTACAAGAGCAAAGCCAGGATTTAACGTGCCTACGACACAGTCAGGTGATGTTCCTAAGAAGAAAATGTCATCACAATGAAGGAGACAGCATGGGGGCCAGAGGCTCTGCTGTCATTGTTGTCCCAGGTGACATTCAGTGCCACTGCAGCCCACATCCTGGTGAACTGAGACTCCAGAATTGGCAGCAGTGGAGGAACACACCCACTGTGCCACCATGATGGCGGGAGAACTATGGGAGGACCGGGGCACCAGGGCTGCCGGGAAGATCTGCAGGGTCCGTGGAGGACACAGTCTCTCTGGGACTGGAAAGGCATGAGGCGGACGTGACCCCAGCTGTCTCTGGCCCTTCCCAGCTCCGGAGGTGAGTGACCAGGAAGCCTCTTCAGTCCTGGCCTTCACAGAAATGAGGATGTGGAGGTCCCTGAGCATTGGGCAACCCTTCCAGGCCCCTGCTCGGGAAGAGCCCAACTGTCCCCTGCCTCTGTGTACTGGGGGATTTCTACTGCCTCTGTGGGGTTCATCAGGTCACAGCTATGGGCACACAAAAGTCAGGCAGGTTTTGGCACCGGACGTGACCACACTTCCCTTTCCCCCGCTGTGTAGACACATCTCAAAAAATTTACCCAGCACTTGAAAGCTGATGGGGCACGGGAAGCTGAACTTTAAAAACAAGTTTCTTTTCAAGTGGTGCTTGGCCAGGCACAGTGGTCGCTTCCCTGCACACTGGCTGATGGGGGCAGCTGACCACAGTGAAAGATGCACACTCAGACCCCCGAGGCCGGCAGGTAGCTACTCTGAAACTTCCCCGCTGTAGAAACAGGACATCCTCCCAAACCACCCATGTCACCATCACCCTGAGATGTGAAGTCGACCACCATGGTCACATGGCCAGTCAGAGCAGGCTACCAGTAAACCAGAAAAAACCCAGACCACACAATGAAACGTTTTTATGTGAATAGAGAACTGAATCTATTTTATGGGGAAGTTGTTCTATAATACAGGGTTATCCATGCTTATTTTGTTTATCTTATAAACACCTGTGACCCGTGGAATAGTTTGGGTGGATAAAGAACTATATAAATAATAGACTAGTAAGAATTTATGCATGCGCCTAAGGTGGATAACCAGAGGCCACACCAAAATGCTGTTTTCCCTTCCTTAGAGTCCTTCAACGGCTGAGATTTGAAGGCCATGCAGATAAAAATGAGATGAGCGCTGCTAAGTCCATGTCCACTATGCACCAACCCACCTTGCCACAAACCCAGCCTGGTTGTTTCCTGTTAACACTGATGTGCAATCTGGGCCCGGAAGCATACACCTGCAGTCCCAGCTAACTGGGAAGCTGAGGCAGAAGGCTCATTTGAGCCTAGTTCAGACCAATCTTAGTTACTTATTAAGACTCTGGTTCTTAAAGAAATGAGTAAATAAAAGTCAACAATGAGCAAAAGCTCACATAGAAAATCACACATGAAGATGGCACAATTCACTTCAGAGATTGGCAAAGGCAAGTGAAAATCACAGTGATGCCACCGTGTGCTCACACTGCCAGAAATCTAAGAGACTCAGAAGTGTAAGAACGGTGCTTCTGAGAACGGTGACCAGGGAGCCCTCGTGCACTGCTGAGGGGGCATCCAGCCCCATCACGAGACAGTTCGGATGACTTCCTGCATCAACGGCCCCACCTCCAGGGATGTCTCCAGGGCACATGCGGCCATGCTTTTAGTGGTTTTCTCTGTGCTTATCAAATACCGAATACAACCTCAGTGTTCACTGACCACCGAGTAAACACGTCACACTGTAGATCTACTCGTAGAACGGAATATGCTAGAGCCAAAAAATGAAAGCAACGACAATTACACAAAGTCTCACTGACAGAAAACACATCCGAGACCCACATACTCGAGGTCTCCCATGGGCAAACAATTGAGTTCAGAGACATACAACTAGGTGGTAAAAATAAAGTGAAACACAAAGACAAACACAGAAGAAAGCCCATACACGTTAGGGCACAACAAGCACATGAGTCTGGAAGTGGCCTCTCCAGCGGGACGGCGTGGGGCAGAGAAGGGTCCTCAGCAGTGCGGGCTGCCCGGCAGTCAGTCGCATCTAGACAGTTTTGCATCTTCCGGGCTTCAGGGCTCACAGTAAGCACGGCACAAAGGGCACCATGGCAGGAGGTAATGGAGACCACCTCTCCATCTTGGAAGATGATTCTTGCAAAGGCTCCCATGGAACAGGTGCTGCCGGCAAGTCCCTCTGTTCGGCCGGCCATAGCACAGACTGCTCGGGGGTAACCACCAGGTGCAGCTGGTGCCGTGGACAGGCAGCCCAAGCAGTGCCCAGCAGCTGGCAGGAAGTGAGGGCAGACAAGGGAAACCCACAGGCCTGGTGTCTGTAGGTGGCACCGACCAGAAGGTCCAGCCGCAGTAACGGCCAGCAACAGGGAGGTCGCTGCCAGCTGCAGGCAGGGCCTGGGCTGGGCGAGTTTTAATTTCACATCTGTGTAAGCTGGTGTGGAAATTGCCTCCTGGTTGCTCCTCCTGCCCTCTGCTGTTACAGAGCAAGCCATCCTTGGGGGCGCCATTGGTGCATGCATGAATGTGTGCGCCAGGCCAACAGGGATAGCCAAGGCAAGTCTGTGTGTCCTGTGTGATCAGCGCACCCGGACGTGGGCCAAAGCCCTTGACTACTTTTGAATGCTTCTGACCCAGTGATTGACTCAGAAGCAGTAAGCTGGCAGCTTTGGAGTCTGCTGGGATTTCTGAGGCTTGGAATCAAGATCACGTTGAGAAGTTGTACGGACTGGCCTAAAGGCCTTGTGTTGCCTGGGCATCCTCCTGGGTGGGCGGCCGCGGCCCCCGGCCCCTTGCAGAGGTGAGGTAAGAGGCAGGGCAGGCCCCTCCTCAGCCCCCTCATGCCCTCTGGGTGAGGGATATGTGACCGTGATGCTGGGCACGAATGGTGACATGAGGACCAGGAGGAGGTGGGGCGTTTGGCCCACAGGCTCCCTGAGGCTCTTGGGATGTTACTGGCCCTGCCAACAGAGCAGAGGAGGGAGGCCCAGCCCAGCACAGCAGAGGTTCTCATGAGAGAGCCTGTGACAGAAGTGCTCATGAGCACTAGGAACTATGGGCAGAGCAGGGAACTTCTAGACAGGGCATCAGATGGCAGGCGCCTGGAGTTGGCTGTGTGCATGGGGAGAAATTCACCATAGCTGTACAGAGCCAGGGCCAGGGCCACACTGAGGGGTGGGCACCCTCCCGAGAGCCATCAGGCCCACATGGTTTCTCCAGGTAGGGGCATGTGCATGACCACAGAAGGCCTGCTGAGGGGCCTCAACTCGGGAGGGATGCGAGTGTTACCAAAGCCTCAAAGACAAAGGAAAACATGTCGGGTATTTTTACCTCCAAACATAGCAATAAGCTGAGTATGATGGTGCATCCCTGTAACTCCAGCACTCAGGAGGCTGAGGCAGGTGGATCCCTGTGAGTTTAAGGCAAGCCTGGGCTATACAGTGAGTTCAAACCTAGCCTGCACTACATAGCAAGGCCCTGTCTCAAAACAAAACAAAACACCAAACAGCAACATGTAGGTCCACTGAGGCACACTCCACACAACCACTGAAAGCAAGATAAGGCTGGAGCACGGGACATATCTGGGGCTGTGCTGCTCCATTTGAACACCTCCCCCTCCTAAACATTTTATTCTGGTGTCCGTCTGCTCCCCTCTCTCTCCTCAGTCTGCTCTAGTTCACCAAGGTGGACTAGTTCACAATGTCTCTCCAAGCTCTGTGGGGACTTTGATTGGCACCAATGAACTGGTATTGACACCACCCACAACTGCCTTTGAACCTTACCCTCAGACAGGCTGCAATGCTTTGTGCTGATCTATGACTGCAAAACCACATACAGCGAGTACAGAGGCCTTTTTTGATCAATCATGACAGCGTTCGAGACAAAACTGAGCTGTCACTGTGTAAGGGAGGCTGGTGGCAGCCCGTCTCATTCACGGATAAGTAAGGAGGTTTCTCCTGATGGCCACAATTCACTTCTGAAGTGTGGGCATCAAATGAAAATGAGTTAAAAACCACAGCAGAGAAAGGGGGTACAAAAAAGTAGGTCTGTTCTAAAGGTACAAACCAAGCAACACCTCTGCAGTGGGCAGGATGATCCCCTAGGCCAGCAGCAAAGGGACACCTGGACATGAGATTTCCATGCAGAGCATGAAAACCTCTTTGTTTTTCAATGTGGTGGAAAGAATCCACAGCTCCTATAGATGAGTGTCTCACAAAACAAAGGGAATGAGTCGTGAGAAAAGGCATGGCGAAAAGGGAAGAGGAGGAGCTGGAGATCAGTGGTCCTTGACCTTTAGTACGAGAGCGAGATGGAATAGGAACTATGTGAAATACTTAAGGAAATAAAAGATGGAAGTATAAAAGTTACCAACTGATAAAATATCCTAGAAAATACCAGAGATGTTTGAAAAATGAATGTGCTAGGAAAGTTCAACTGATAAAAAAAAAAATCCATGAATGAGTAGAACAGAAAATTAGACAAGAGAAAGCCTAAGTCAGTGACA